TGTGTGTGTGTGTGTGTGTGTGTGTGTGTGTGTGTTGTGTTCCTGTCGGGCACAAGGTCAACCCTTAAGTGTGGTTAATTACAGTTTGATAGTACAAGTAAGTTCTGATATGCTAGGAAAAAGGAACTTTTGCTTCTACCATAGTGAAATGATAACTATTTCAGGAGAGCCGTAACATTTGGCCTAATGTGAGCCCTGCACAATGTCTACATGTATTGAAATGCTACATGGACCCCATAAATACATTCAATCTTCATGTGTCCATTGAAATAAAACATATATTTATTTTTTTACTGACTCAAGGATTGAACATATTTATGGAACATCATCTGTATTCACACATATAATAAATAGAAAATTCAAGGTCAAGGATGCCCTTGATTGTGTAAATTAAATGTTTCTATGCATTAGCCTTGAACAAGAGGTGCTCAACTGAATGTTACTAGTGAGACTGGAATTAAGACAGGCATCTTTAGTATTGTTTCCACAATAGCTTTCACAGGATCATTTTTAGTCACCTGTACTTAATGAATCTACCATTACAGAACTTTATAGATGGTTCTTTCATGCTCCACCCTTTCCAACCCTCAAGCCTGTAGATGCCATTGATCTTTTATCATCTCTGCAGCTTTTCTATTTCCACAATGTCATGTACACAGCTGGAATTGGATAATACATGAACTTTTCGAATTGGCTTTTTATTTCTACTTGGCATATGTTTTAATATAAAATATTCATAGGTCACACTCTATCATCAAGGCGGTCAGGCTGGAACTCAAGGCAGGAACTCAGGGGCAAGAACTAAAGCAGAGACCATGGAGGGGTGCTACTTACTGGCTTGCTCCTCGTGTCTAGCTTAGCCTGCTTCCTTATAGCACCCAGGACCACCTGCCCAGATAGCTGGGTGCTCCCACATGAATAATCTATCAAGAAAATACCCCCACATAGGCCGGCCTGTAGGCCAGTGTGGTGCAGACATTTTCTCAGTGTGAGGTTCCCTATCTTGCTTCACGTTGACATAAAGCCGTTTAACACACTAGGGAAGTGTTCTAATATTGAGTTACATTCCCAGACCCTGAATTCTTCAGCCAGCAATAGGTATGGAACCTGCAGGTGCCTTACTACCCTGGGGCACTTCCAGCGTTGGCCATTCAAATCACAGTGCCCGAATTCACCATCTCTGTTAGTGATTTCTCCAATACCCATGAGGAATGACAAAGTTGCCCTGGTAACAGGCTGTGATCCGAATAGGACCAGAGCCTTTTGTTGATGAAGGTAAAAACTGTATTGCGAAGAACCAGACTAGATTCTAATGTTTTATGTTTGTGATTTTTTTTTTTTTTTACAGACAGCTTCAAAAAATGGTCCATGATATTAAGAACAATGAAGGTGGAATAATGGACAAAATAAAAAAGTAAGTCAATCTCTGTTATTTATGTGAAATAAGCCAATCTGTGCTGGGTGGAGACCAAAGCTCCCTCAGCAAGTGAGGACCAGGGACAGGAAGCCATGGTGGTTAGGTCCCCATGGAAACAGGTGAGTGAGTGCAACTCGGGGCATCTACAAATTTTCACCTCCGGAAGAGGTGTGCTGGGCCCACTCAAAGCATCGAGCAGGAAAACCACTTGGATGACGCCTGAGCTGTGGCCTGGGGACAACCCTGGAGAAGCCAGGAAGAATGCAAGAAACTCTGCCTGGCTTCTTTCACTCAGCCTCATCTAGGTGCTAAGGAGGCAGGCATGCCTCCATGTTTTTGTCATGCCTTGTCGCTGGTCTACAGCTAGGTTTCTGCTGTTTTAATTGTCACCTTAAAATTGTGTTTCAGTAACTTCTTGACGAAGTAAAGCCAGAATCCTGGATTTTCATGTACACCAAACCCCCTTAAAAAATTTTTTTTTTAAATATTAGACGTTAGACTGGGTGAAATGATACACAATTGAGATCCCAATTATTTGAGAATTTTACTCAGTCTTAAATCACTCACAGGGTCCTAGGATGTATGGGACCCTGGATTCATTCTCCAAACACACACATACACACACACACACACACACACACCACAGAAATTGTACATATTTTTGTATTTCCCACTCTAAATCTAAGTCAAGATGAAAAGAAAAATAATATTTTGTTTTATTTGTCTTTTGAGGTAGGGTCTCACTGTGTAGCCCTGGATGGCTTTCGACTTGATTTGTAGACTGGCCTCAAACTCACAGAGAGACCCCTGCCACTGCCTCCTGGATGGGTGCTAGGACTGAAGGCATTAGCTAGTGCAACCTGCCTAATGCTCAGTTTTTAAATTTGCTTTTCTTTTTTTTATTAATGTAATACAAATTCACCAGGAAAAAAAAAATCACAGAATTTGAAAGATATTGGGGTTACGCACTTCCTCATGTTCCCTCTCTAAGCTATTCCCCCCAAACAATTATTGCCCTGGGTGAGTCATCCCACATGCGGGCCTGTGTGTGCACGCTTACACAGGCATGCATACACCAACACTGCACGTGCCTACACACGGACATTTTCACCTTTAATAGCATCATGCTGCATATACCAGTCTCCCAGCTTATGGTGTTGGTTTTACTATGGACCTCTGTATCGGTATGAAAAGATAAACCATATTTTTCCTAAGTGCTAGCTAGTGGTCTATTGTAATTGCCTTATAATTAAACAAACCGACTGTAGATTGATGTGTGTTAAAGGGAAGGGTGTGAGCTTTAACTGATAACGTTTTTTGGAGTGATAGCCTCATACCAGTCAAAATTCTCTAGCCATCTCTTTGCATTTAGTTGTCACAGATAGTACTGCAATGAGGGTCCTTTCATACTTCAAGTACTCCATTAATATAAGTTCCTGAAATAAATTTTCTAAGTGGAAGTTAAAGTTTTATCACTATTGCCAAATTTCCCTCCCCCAGTTTTGTGCCAATAGCAGCACAGGCCAGTCCAGTTCTCTGTGTCTGTAGGACAGTGTGTTCATTCTCTTTGGCTGTTTTAAGAACCTCAAATATCCTGGCGCCCCAGCGCACATGGGGATTGGAAGGCAGTGATGGTCTTCTGTGAGGGGAAGGGGTTATTGCATAGAGGACGACAGGCTCCATCCTGGGGCTGGCAGAGGTGTGCAGTCCATTCTGTTTCTTTTTTCTACTGTGGAATCTCATTCCCACACGAGGCACTGTCAGAGTCACTAGCAATTTGTGCGTTGCCCCAGCTGCCAGATTTGCAACTCCGATGTTCTCAGTGGTGTGAGGTTTCTCTCTCATGTTCAGTCATATGACAGAAGCCACGAGCAGCAAATGATCCCGAAGTTTCTATTTCAAGTATTTGCCTACTGTCCGTAGAGTGCTGGTGTGTGTGTGTGTGTGTGTGTGTGTGTGTGTATGTGTGTGTTATTACCTGCACGTGCACACAAAAGCCAGCCCCAGATTTTGGGTGTCCCCCTTGGGACAGGGTGTGTCACCAAACAGGAAACTCACTGCTTCTGCTAGGCTGGCTGCCCAGAGAGCTCTCACGATGTGCCTACCTCTCTGTTCTCAGGTTCTGTGGTTACAGGGACACAGCCATGCCCGGCTTCTCGTGTGGGTGACAGGGATGCGAGTTCAGGTTCTCGGGCTTGCAGGGCGAATGTTCTTACTCCCACTCTCCCACTCTCCAAGCATCTTCCTAGCCCCTAGTGCTTTCCTTGGCAAGCCATGTTTCTTCACAGCCTGGAAAAATCTGGCCACCAGGGCCATCACCATGGAAGTCAAGGGCTCCTTACCTCAAAGCGGTCTGCCGCTGAGCTCCACTGTGAAGTCAGACAACATCTCCCTCGAGAGGAAGAAGCCCTGTCCAGCCCACTGTTTCCTCTGTCACAAAGACTGTGAAGGCGTTCTCAAGGGAGTGGAAGGGCAGCATGTGAGAAGGCCTGTGAAATGCCGTGCTTAGAGTGTAGCTGCCAGCTACATGTTACTTTCAAAATATACCTTTTATTCCTGGCTTGTGCTCAGCACCATTTTTTTTTTCTTTTTTTTTTAAATTTTTTCCTTTTTCTTTCAGTATGTGTGTTGCATGTACATGTTTGTATGGGTGTACGTGCATATGAATGTAGGTGCTCGTGCGTGTGTGTGTGCGCGCGCGCGCGCGCGTGTGTGTGTGTGTGTGTGTGTGTGTGTGTGTGTGTGTGTGTGTGTATGCAGGTATAGAGTCCCGTGTTTCTCTACTCCTCTGACCCTAGTTTTCTGAGGCAGAGTCAGTGCTCTACTGCTCACCAATTCTGCTACACTGGCTGGCAAACTCCCAGAGCTCTCCTGGTGTCCAGCCACAAGCACTGGTTTCTGGACAGGCACTTCCACGCCTAGCTTTTATGTGGGTGGATCTGGGGATTTGAACTCAGGTCCTCACACTTGTGAAACAGGCACTTGCTGACTAATGTGTCCAGTCCCAGGGAGACCCTTAAGCTTGTCCTTCATTCCAAGGTGAGTTGAGCTGTTTAAACAGTTTCCTAGGTGCTAGTGGGTAGAAGCTGCTGTGAGTATTTTGAAGTTTTGCTGTTCCTGGACATCAGACCTCCTTTTGATCCCGCTTCTCTTCCCCTCAATTCCTTTGACAATCTCTTTCCAGACTCCATCACAACATTATTTTGGTGAGCATTGTTAGCTTGTGATGAGAACGGGATGCAAAATAGATACAAGAGCCTGTAATGGAAAAGGGAGGATTCCTATACAAAAGCCAATATTGTTATTTTTGTAGTCTACAATTTTGATTCATAAGGGGTTTTGTGTATTTCTAAGACAAAATAATATGAATTTATAAGTTGACTTTTTAAAAAAAAAATTAAAATGTATGATTATTAGCATATATGCTGCTTCTATAAAAGGAAATATTATTTTAGTAATTAAAGGTTCCTAGATATAAGTTTATATGTGTGTACTTTAAAATTTCATTTAGGAAATCACTCTTCAGTAAAATGGGTAATTATCATTAATTAGTAATTTACTATAAACCTTCCATCTTCAGATGATGCTTGCCTGTTTGCCATAGGTTTTGTTTTGTTTTGTTCTAATGTTGGGGATTGAACCTAAGACCTTATGCCTGCTAGGCAAGAGCTCTACCACTAGGCCATAGCCTAGGCCCCACTTGTCATGTTTTTAAATGGTGGAAATGATTTTCATTCAGCCTATGAGCAAAGCCTATTTTCCCACTTATACAAAAGCATTTGTGAGCCATTAAAATACAGTTCATATCTTCTTACTGTCCTGTCAGTCAATGAGAACCGATCTTCTTCCATGAATCACTGACTGCAGCATTAACTGGTCTTTGGGCCTCCCAGAGCCTTTCCATGTCTCAACCTGACTTGGCCCAAGGCATAGGCTCCCCATGCACTATGGGGTATGCTGGCTTCATTAGATTACAAGACGCCAAACTCTCAATTCGAGGGGCCCAGAAGATAGTCTAGTAGTTGTCTACCTCTCGTCTCTACGTTAGCTTGTGCTGTGGGCCTTGGCAACAGTCATCCTGCCCACTGATCCTGTTCTACTGGTTCTCATCTACAGACTGAAAGTCAAAGGACCTCCAAGTGTTCCTCGGAGGGACTACGCGTTAGGTAAGAGTAGTTCTAAAATACATTAGCTGGCTTTTGTCTAATGTTCATATTTGTTTTGGGGGAAGGGAAATATGCTGTACTCATCTGAAAGCAAAGGTGCCCCAGCCTGATTTTAAGAACATCCATGTCAACGAGGCCTTTGACTACAGTGGAAATGTACTCCACCCATCCATCCACTCACCCATCTACCTCTCAGCCTACCTACCCACCCACACATTCATATGTCCACTCTCCTACCCATTCACCCACCTTCCCATCCATCCACTTACCTACCCATCCATTCACCCACCTACCCACCCATCTATTCATCTATCCATACATCCATCTATGTTTCTCTGCAGCTATTAATCAAGTAAATCCCACATGCCAGGCATATATAAGGTATTAAGTGAAAGTTCCATACTTACAATCGAGATATCATCTCCACTGCCACAGAACTGATACCCTCAAAGGGGATGCAGATGCTATTAGAAATATCTACAACGTCATGGTGTAGAGAAAGTGCAGCCCTGTGCAGTACATGGCAGTGGGGTCCTAATCGATCCTGCAGAAAAAGCTATTTAAGGAGTCATTGAAATGGTTCAGTCAGTACAATGCTTGGTATGCAAGCATAAAGACCTGAGTTTGACCCACAGACACCATCTAAAAAGCTGGGCATGGTAGCATTCATTTGTGATCCCAGCACTGAGAAGGTGGAGATAGGCAATGCCTGGGACTTGGTGGGTAAGCATGGCCAGTGAAAGACACTGTCAAAAGTGGGAGAGGGATCCTAAGAAAGGACACTCAGGATCAACCTCTGAGTGCCTGTGTATACACCTCACACCCCTGTGTATACACAGCTCCATCTCAGCTAGCATCAATTTTGGCTGCAAAAAGACTAATCTTGAGATTAGTAGGTTTATAGCAATGGTGATCAAGGTCAAACACAATGCCTTTGGGCAGAATGGACAGAACCCCACACTGCAAGCATTCACCAAGTTCAGACAGATCGCCATGGGACTCCCACGCAGCATGGAACTAAGAAATGGGGGTTTTGTCCAGGGATTTGAAAATCTACCTAATCCATAAGTCAAGGAAAACTGTTGCCAGGTATAATTAAACAGTAACAAATCATTCTTCTCTCCAAAGATGGAAGAAGGAAAAAACCCTGACCTTTTCAATATCCAAACAGGACTGATGGGAAAATCATGGAATGATGATTCTTGTGTTTAAGAGGTGACTCAGTCCAACATCTAGCCTGGACTTATCAGCGGCACCCTCACAAATGAGGCCACATCCCTTAGTGATTTCTAAAGCTTCCCTGATCCCTATAGGATGAGCAGCCCTGACTGGGAGTGCGTGTGACTCCTCTCTGATGGCCGCCTGGTACAAACTTGGAAGTCTCAAAGGGCAGTGACAGGGTTGGCCAATGCAGCAGTGATGTCACTTAACAGTTTACTCTGCAGAATAAACACCTCCAGGCACTTCAGCTTTGACCCACTCAGCCAATATATCATGTTTGTCCTGCGTGAGTAAAGTGCTTGCCATCCAACTATGAGAATCTGGGTTTGGATCCCCAGAAACCACAAAAGGCTGAACTCTGCAGCAGTCAGTAATTCCAGCACTCCTGGGTAAGATGGGAGACAGAGACAGGAGAATTCCCAGAAGTCTGTGGGCCAACAAGCCTAACATACACAGATATGATCAAGAGAACACACACACACACACACACACACACACACACACACACACACACACATACTTTAAAAAATAAGTAATTTCCCAAGCATGGTGGCTGCTATGAAAAATAGTAAGAAAATGGCCGGATGCAAAGAGGCTCAGCAGATGGGGACAACTTATGCAGTCTGGGAAGGTCTTTCTTTGAGGAGGCGACATCTAATTCAAGTGCTAGGGGACAAATTGCAAGTATGTGTGTCCCTTGTAGATGAACCAGTAGCATTAGAGATGACAGACTCAAATGCTGCACTTTAGAGTCAGTTCTCAGAGACCCAACCAACTACAAAAGGACCTCTCTCCTCACTGTCGCTCGCTCGTCCCTTCCCCATGGCCTCTCCCTTCTCTCTTTTCTTCTTTGGTGAAAGGCAGGAAACATCTGACATAACTTCATCCTTTTGCCTAAACCAGGTGCCATGTGGCTCATTGTTAGTTCCCACCCTTTCTCATCCTCTGCAGAATGGGCACGTCTTCCTCTGAATCACTCTGATTCCAGCCTTCAAGCATCTTGACTCTCTGTTGCCATGGCTCCACCTCAGATCCTCACCCCATCTCTTGCTTGTTTTGGGACAGAGTTTCTAAGTGGCTCTCAACACCTAGTTCCATTCCTAATTCTCATCCTCCATCAGAGAAGTGAGCCATAACACAGTTCTCACTGCCCCACTGGGAGTGTAGTCACAGGTTCCAGGGCCAGTGACAAGGTCCTCTCACATCTGCCACTAACTGGCTGTGTAACTATGGACATCACTCTTCAGTTCATTTTCGCCACTTGAGAAATGTAGATCTGTTGGGTTTTGGACCCTGGGTCCTGATGCTACAGCGAGCCTCTCTGACATTGGCTTTAGGAACATGTGTCTTCCCATTTCAAAGGTGTTCTCTTTGGCTTCAAACACCTGATCTCTTCCTGAAATGCTCCATTTAGTCTTTTCTTACATGGTACTGGGGCTCATATGTGCTAGGCAAGTGCTCTAAAACTGAGCTGCAGCCCAAACCCCTCCATGTAGCCTTGAGATCAGTATATCAGTGTCTCTTGGAATAGAGCTTGCTCAACAAAGTCCAAGCCCTGGTATGATGGCAGCAGTCAGCTGGGAGCTTGTTAGACATGTCTAGCCTCAGCCCTGCCACCCAACTACTGAATCAGAATTCAGAATCCATTAAAGTGAAACAAGAGCTCCCATCCCTTGAAACAAACCTGCTTTAAATCAAATCCATCCAAGTTCCCAATCTTAGAAATCAGTCCGGTGCATTTTGCCAAAAGAGCCTGCCTGCTCCCACTCTTTGCTCTTCCCCTTAATCCCTGGAAACCATCCTTTTGGAAAAAAACAGCATCACTGCTTGCAGCTGTGTCCTTCCTTGCCCTGTCCTCCCCCACCTCTAGCTGTTCATGTCCCAGGGGCATTTCCAGCTGCTGCCCCTATGTCTTGGGATTCCCATTCAGTTGCATGCACAGTCTCAGAAATCAGCCCCAAGAATTCTTAAGAAAGGTTACATAAAGAGACAGAGGCAGAGGCAGAGAGAGAGGGAGAGAGAGAAAGTAAGGAAGAGGGGAGAGACAGGACAGAAAGAGGGAGGAGAGGGGGAGAGAGGGAGATCTGTCTTAGTTCTGTAACTAAAGATCACCTCCTGGGCAAGGAGCCTCAAGTTTTAGGGCTCATTGCAGAAAACTTCTGGTCACCCCCACAGACCCCTAGGGATCAGATCTGAACAAGGCTTTTCTCCTTGCACCCTGATCTCCAGGGACTGTCAGGAGAAGCCCCCCCCCCCCCCACCACAGAGTATTAACCCTCTCCCTAGTGACATGCAGGGAGGGGGCTGAGCAATGGTGAAAAAGTCGAGGTTCCCCCAAAAGAATGAAGCTAGGGCTTCCCTGAGATGCAGCAATCCCACCACAGGGTGAATGGCCAAAGGGAAGGCAATCCCATTCCAAACAGACATCTGCACGCCTGTGCTCAGCGCTGAGCCCGAACCGTGAAAACAACCTGCGTCTCCGTGCTGATGAGTGGACAAGGAACATGTGGTGCCTGCACACAATGGAATACTATTCACTCATTAAAGGAATGGCTCATTAAAAGTCCTGCCATTGGTAACAGAGTTGGCAGAGTTGGAAAGTCGCTATACCGGGTGAAATAAGTCAGGCACAAAAAGACAAATCCGACATTCTCCCACTGAGAGTAAAATCTATCATGGTGGCTCTCATAAAACTGAAACATTGATCATAAGGATGGCAGCTACCTGAGCCAGCAAGGAATGGTGAAGGAGGCTAGGCAAGGGGTCCAGTGTGAGTGTGAAGTCCTGGTATGCTATTTCACAGATGGCTATCGATAACAATGTGCAATGCATTCCAGTAACTGAAGAGAGATGCTGAAAATCCCATTTGAAGAGACAGATGTGTTTACCCTGCTTTAAACATTATGCAATGGATTGTGTACTGAAATACCACCGATTAACATATGGAAGCTGTATATTTTTTATGTTTTCACATATCAGTTAAAGTGACTTATATTTAAAAAATAGGAAAAGGAGATGGCCCAGTGGGTACAAGTGCTTGCTATAAAAGCAAGAGGACCTGAGTTCAAATCCCAAATATTCACCTAAAAGCTGGGCATGGTTATGTGTGCCTGGCCATTTGGCCTAACTGAAACAATGAGTGTCAGAATCAGTGAGAGACCCTGCCTTAAAAACTAGATGCCTTAAAAACTTAAAAACCTCTGGCATCTGTATGTATACACAGACATGTACACCCTAACAGGTATGAAACACACACACACACACACACACACACACACACACACACACACACAAATTCATTCCAATAAAGGCAACAATAAAATAAGATGATTATATGTTTAAAAGGAAGAAAGAAAGAGGAGGAGAGGACCAGGGAGGGGCTCTCAGGTAAAGCTACAGAAGCCTGGGGTCTGCACAGCCACTCTTTGTTCCCAGAGAAATGAGCTCTAACACTGCTTGTGTCTTGATGTCCTGATTGGAACCATCATCATTTGCTCTCATGTTTCTGTTTACTCTTACCCTGATGATAGTGGCAAAACTGCTGTAGAGAGAGCATTGACTTTAGTGCTGGTGTTCCACGTGGCACTAAGAATAGAGAAACACAACTTGGGCTCCAGGTATTTTAAACTGTGGAGAGACCTGGAGCATCATCCAATCGAGGCTTCCAGGATAAGTAGAGGCAGAGAAGCAAAAGACTATCCATGACCATGGGCCACATGCCAGTCCTGTCCAGGGAAGAATGCACACACGGGCAAAGGGAGTGCTTGAGACATTATGTGAACACACTAAAGGCTCCTGTCCCAGCCAGCTTCATCTGGTCCTTTTGAGGAATTGCCTCCATCAGATTTGCCTATGAGCAAGTCTTTGTGTGTCATTTTCTTGATTAATGACTGATGTGGGAGGGATCAGGCTACAGGAGTAGGTGGGGCTACCCCTGGGTAGTTGGTCCTGGATTGTATAAGAAAGCAAGCTAAGTGAGCCATGGGGAGTGAGCCAGGGGGCAGCCTTCCTTCACGGCTTCTGCTTTGGTTCCTGCCTTGAGTTCCTTCCCTGACTTCCCTCAATGACTGACTGTGATTGGGGCCTGTAAACCAAAGAAATACTTCCTTTTCCACGTTGCTTTGGTCAGTGTATTCAAGGAGGCACAGTAGAGAAACTGCCTACGTGACTGTTCCATGGTATGCTTAGGGAAAGGGTTTTGTGCGTAAGAGAAAGAAAATATACAGTGGCATCTGGAAGAGTCTAGAGCAGAAAGAAAGGAAAGCAGACTGGACAAGGCCAGGGCTATCTTCAAGAGAACAGCTGGAGAAGAGAGAATAGTATACAAAGAGAGAGGGGAAGGGGGAGAATAGTGAGAATAGAATTAGGGGGTAATAAACAGAGCGGGATCTGAGGTGAGAAGGGCCAGGATAGGGGCTGAAACAGATAAGAGGCACTTGTGAATGGGGGCTGTGGGAGCCTGGAGGCCAGCATGGGCTTTGATATATGGGTCAATGAAGAGCCATTGCTCCTTCTGCCAGAAGTCAGGGAATGACCCCCTTTGGCAAATGGGAACCAGTTTCACAAGTTCTTGAGGAATCCTGGCTCTTATCTAACCACTAGAAATCCTCCAGCTTGAGCTGGGCCCAGACTTTGGACTAATTCAGTGGGCCTGCCCTTTGGGACAGGAATGGAGGAGCTTTGGCCCTGACAGTCATGGAGTTTATCAAAGCAAAAAAGGACAAGTATAATATTCCAGAAACGCCCCTTGACAAAAGTATCAGCCTAGCTAAAGTACCCCACGCCTCTGCTCCTGTGGGATTTCTTTTCCTGCTTTGAGATCTAAGTTTCCTGAGAATGAGCTCAAAAGTGACCGACGCCAACATGGCTGCACTTACCGTCCAAGGCCAAGCAAATGCACCAGAAGTCCCGCAGAAAAGCAGCCAGCGCTGGTGCCTGTGGGCAGCCAGCTCAGGGGTCTACAGACAGCACACGTGCCTGTGGGCCAGCTAGAGCGGGCCAGCTGGATTCATGCTTTTCACCCTATGACCCTCTCCTGTTACAGAGAGCCCTGCTGACGAAGAGGATCAGTGGTCAGATGACTTTGTGAGTATCTGCTTCTGGGATCAGGAGGGTGCCAGCCTCAGTGGGGGGGGGGGGTATATGGAGGGGACCTTTTAAATGGCTTGTTCCTGAATCCCATGCTGATGGCTAGCTGAGCAACACAGGGAGAGAGGTGCAGAAGGGCTGAAAAGCCCCCTCCAGGCAGGTGGCCGTGACCTCGCTGACAACTGACATGACCATAAGCTCACCATCACCCAGGCTGAACACGTTATATGTATAATGCCATTTTATGATAGCACAGCCCTGGGAGGTAGGTATTCTAACCCCATTCTCAGAGTTCACAGACACATAGAACCAGAAGTAATGCATTTAAATAGAGCGCACTCAGGCCCTGAGCTCCCCACTGCTCCCTGACCTCCAACCCAGCCAGGAGACCCACCAAAACAATATCCAAGGGGTTAATGCCGGTACACCCATGTAATTCCAGCACCCGGTAGGCTGAGGCAGGAAGACTGAGAGTTCAAGGCCAATCTGGGTCACTTAGAGGGTTTGATCCTGACCTGGGCTATTTAGCAAAACCCTAATTTTTGTTTTTTAAGGGAGTTAATAATAGGCACAGGTGTTTCTTGAATCAGAATGGAGTATTTGATTAACTTGCAGTTTCCAAACTCAACACAGGCCTTCAGGCTGTAGGCTAGCAAGGTACCTGCTATGGACACCAGCCTTGTTCCCCAGGTGAGAGTGAAAAAGAGGGGCCTAGCCATAGTGATACTGGCAATTGAGACAGCAGAATGAAGGGTTAATCTTCTCTAAGTTAGTCCTGTAGCCCGCAGGGCCCTCTGCAGCACCCCTGTTGGGAGCTGGGTCTTGCCAAGACGAGGCATCCTAAGGTTTTCAACATGCTTGAGTTCTTCCGCTCTGATCTGACCACATATAAAGAAACAGGGGTCGTGAAGACAGAACCGGCATTCCCACTGTCCCTCAGTGGGACGCAGACTTCTCGGCCAATGCCCAGAATAGAATCTGTTTTTTACCACCTGGAGTGGATGTGGTCTTTGAAAACAACAGTTCCACCTGATTCAACCGCAGAAAAAAAATGAAAAGAAAAATAAGGGGAAGAGCGATCTCACTGCGGGTCACTTGGGCATGAAGTTCCTTCCCAGAACCCAGCATAGCAGAAACCAAGGTGTCTCGGCTCGGCTGCGCCCCCTGCTGGCATCAGCGCAATACCACAACTGCGGCAAAGGGAGCCGGGAAGATAGCTTGCAGGCTGAACTAAGAACTTGAAAGAGAACAAGGATGGGTATATGGGAGGGTTTTGAGGGAGGAAGGGGAGGAGAAAATGATGTAATTATATTATAATCTCAAGAAATAAAAGAAGTAATTTTTAAAAAGAGGCCACAGAGCGAGGACTACAAAGTAAAAATTAGCCAGACGAGTAGGGACTGACCTACCCGGAAGTTAAACAGCCAAGATTAACAAGGATTGGGTACATGCCCCTTGCCATTATTTTACTTCAGTGGGTCACCACTGCAGATAGTCTGAAATGCAGACTTGTTCCTAAAGTCTTTAGACTAGACTGAGGAACCCCCATCAGAACATCACAAGGGAAAGGAGACAAGTGTCCCGTCTCTGCCCTAGAAAGTCCTGTGTGATCACGGCATGAGCTGTGTGGAGAAGGTAGATGCCTCCGCTTTCTGGCCTCCGCTGCAGGAAGCGCTCCTGCCTCCTAAGGCGTCCATCAGACAGCACCAGCAGGGAAAACTGAGAACAGTGCTTACTTTTGCAGGACAGTGACTATGAAAATCCAGATGAGCATTCGGACTCTGAGATGTACGTCATGCCCGCGGAGGAGACGGGCGACGATTCTTATGAGCCACCTCCCGCTGAGCAGCAGACAAGGGTGGTCCATCCAGCCCTGCCCTTCTCCAGGGGCGAGTATGTAGGTGAGGCCGCTAGGGACGCTGGGATCACAGGGAAGGAAGCCGGTCAAATCTAGCTGCTGCCGGAGGGTCCCCTGACTGTTTGCACTCTCCCTCAGAAGCAGCAGTCCAGGAGCTGGCAGGTGTGGGGGCGGGGCACAATGGTATGGCCTTTTCATTTTATGGGGAGTGTTTTTTTCCTTCCCGGAGTGGGAGCATGGAACAGGTTCTTTTAACCAATAAGGAAGTCCACCCTAAGGGTTGCCCCCACCAGCCCTTGAGGCACCATAGAAAGTCAACCCAGACTAGTATTGTTTCTCCTGGGAATTCCTTCATCCAAGTCTCTGAAGCTTCTGAGAAGCCCGCACAGAACAACAAGGATCTGAGGTCCACAACCCCCGCCCCCTTTGCTCTAGTGCCAGACAGCTTTGTACACAGGCCATCTGGACTGTGGCTGTCTGCCAGGGGATGGGGGAGCCCGTGGCCCCCAGGCCTGTAATTGACCCTCTTAGGTCAATTGACACAGCACAAGTTTGGCTTTGAGGTATGCCTCTGCCGTCCATCAAGAAGCCTGGTGTGGTACAATCCTAGCTTGGGTGTCGGGGATGAAGCAGGAGGATCCTACGTTCCCAGGCTGGACCAACTAGCAAGATCCTGTCTCAAAATAAAAAGCTCAAAACCAAAACATGACAAGCAAACAAACAAAAACCAGGTTCAGGCTGTAGCTCAGCGTTTGGGTTCCCACCTAGCTCGTGTCGTCATAGCGGGTGACTGGGTTTCCTGAAGACGGGGATGGTGAGCATATTCTTAACCAGGGCAGCGTTCGCACGTGTGCAGCAAGACATCCCCACTGTTGTCAGCAGCCTCCGCACAGGGTGCCGGCTGCTGCTGGCTCCGTGTTCCACAGCTACTCTGTTGGGCCCTTACTCAGGCTCAGCCCTGAGCATTTAGCTGCGATCAAGGCAACATACTCTTGCTATATTCTATAGGTTACAGGGCAGTACTTTATAGCCATGGCTCCTTAACCCTGTTAGTCTGGTGGAAGAGGGATGCAGCCTCACTGCACGGAGGAAGGAGGGACTGCAGGCAGAGCTCTAACTGGGCCGCTAGGTATGTAGGTGGTAGAGCTCGGGCGAGCTGGGCCTCTCAGCTTCCATGTGGGCATGCCTCAAGCCCCGCCCCATGCGCTTCCCCACTGAATGTGATAAATGACTTTGTTCACTCCTTGGCAACATCCTGCGAGGGAGGAGGCTGTATTAGGTGCACACTGCGAACCAGAAACCACAATTCAGTTCTGCAAAGCCTGCCTTTCATGGTTTGCTACTTCTCGCGGTTTTAAACATTGCATGAAGAGTTCTATATAAACTCCAAGCACTACAAATAAAACTGGCAACGATAGGCTCAGCCAAGAAGATGCTCTGATGTGTGAGCACAGAAAGTGTGATGTGATGTCTGAGGAAGAAGCAAGTGTCCAGAGCAAGAATGAGCACCAAGAAAAGCCGTAGCATCAGGGTATGGCAAGCAAAGTAATGTCACAGGAGGAAGCAGGATGCCCAGCAGCCTGCTGCAAGCCGCTGTGCTGTGCTGCCTAGGATAGGGAATGCCAGGGCATCCTATGCTAGGAACTTCCAAAATTTCGTCAGTCCAATAGTACTCAGCCCACAGCGGCACTGGGCAGTCTGAGTATCTGAAGGCCTCACAGAACATGGTGCTATCAGACCCATTTGTTAGGCAGCCAAGCTGTACTGGTGCTTTCACTGTGGTTTTCTTTATCCCTACAATAGCCCTAAGGTGCACAGCATGACCTGCTTTAAAATGAGAAAAGAAGTGTGGGAAAAACTGTAACTGATGCAAACAGATGAGGTTAGCTCATGCTAGAGCAGAAGGAATCCAGATCCATCCGGCTTCAGAGCCTGGGCTCTTTCTCAGATACTTGCTAAGGGGACATTCCTGGACAAAGCTGGGTGGACTGGCTTCTCCAGGAGTTGAGGGAAAGAACTCCTTGGCACAACCTGAGGATCCTGGGAGACTTTCTAAGCCCATCGCAACAGACTGTGTCCAGAAGTCCAGAATTAGGTCTGGAGTGGGGCCACTTTAGAAGCCCCTGAGACATCTCCACTGTGTAAATACAGCTGAGAACAACCCTCCCCACTCCAGCACGCTGCTCCTGCCCACTGTGCTCAGCAGAGTGTTGGGCTCTCAGCTCTGCCAAGCCTGTAGGCTCTTCTCACTTTCGGGAATGTGGTCTTGGGTCCCTACTGGTTAACCCATAGGTAAGCAGACAACTGACACTTTCCACCTACCTGTTCATTTGGCTCCATTAAGGATCACACCTGATTACATAGATGCTTTTGGCTGGATGTTTTCTAGATCCCCATGATATCCACACAATGAATGACCCAGAGCTCCTTGTGTCTTGTCTTATGTTTGTTCAAGATAATCGATCCAGCCAGCGGCACTCCCCGCCCTTCAGCAAGACACTTCCCAGTAAGCCCAGCTGGCCATCAGCAAAAGCAAGACTGGCCTCCACCCTGCCAGCCCCCACATCTCTACAAAAGCCTAAAGTCCCCCCCAAGCCCAAAGACCTCCTGGACGATGAGGTAAAGTAAGCCTGTCCAAAGATCACCTGAGGTTGGGGGGGGGCAGGGAACTAGGCCTGGAGTGGCCTTCCTTCCTCAAAGCCTCACTGTCCTCCTGTCCTCCAAGTCCCTCAAGGTGAGATGAAGGGGAACTTGCTCTCTCTAAAAGTGGAAAATGTGACCCGCATTAATCATCTCGGTTCTCCACAGAAGTGCGGTGTATGCAATGGATTTGTGCCTCTCCTATGGCACCTGCTATGCCTCTCAAAGACCTTTATGGCTCTTGCTTCCCAATCTTGTCCTCACCCCCACCCCTGGGAATTCAGAGACTCACCTCATCAACCTCCCATCTGTCAGTGCCTGCCTCTTGGGGGGTCTTTTTCCCCTCGGGGTTGTTGTTTTTTGAAAGTACCCCATTAAGATGGTCCCTGCAGGAGGGCACTGAAGACAGCTCCAAGCGGGCAGCAGACAGAACCTAGCGAAGCTGCTCTGAGAAGTTGCTTGGTTTAGGATGTCTGCAGGTGAGGGAACACTTCTCGAAATGACCTTCATTTGTGTTTTTATAGAATTTCCAGTCAGGAGACGGAAAAGAGAACCTTTTAGAGCACAGTAGAGACAGCTTCTGGTCTAAATTTCTTCTGATTCCAGTCCTGTGATTTATGGGCAGGGTGGCCAACTCTCTGAGTCTGTTTTCTTTCTTATTATTTTAATATTTATTTAACATATAGATATACAGAAATAGATGATAGATAAGCATAGTTCTTACACACACACACACACACACACATACACCTGGTTTCTATCATACTTAGACTTTTTGCAAAGCCAGTTTTCTTGTTTCTCTTAAACATTGAACATGGCAGTAGGCCACACTGAAAGAGAGCTGCTGAGCCTCATGGTAGCTCGGCTCAGGCAGTTGTGAATGAATCCTGGTCCTTTGTTTTAATTTACCACAGGCTCGCTTCTCCTAACATATATACACTTCCTCATCCTGAAAGGCTCCTCATTTCTGTCACCTCTCCACACTTCCTGCCTGATTCCTGCTTTAGGGGACAGTGAAAAGCAGATAGCAGCAGACTTGGGGAAGGGGTGGTTTCTCAGTCCTCAGGCTGTCTGTCTGTCAGAGAAGTGGCTACTACTTCCTAGTAGTAGACTAGGAAAGACAAAGGAGCCAGAAAGACTGTCTTAGCCTTGAGCAAATTCACATGCCATTGTGAATTTTAGACATAGTAGCAAAGGGACACCATGGGCTGTGCCAGGATCTCTGTTTCTGTGATGAGTTCTCAGAGAACTCAGGAAGGCAGAGTTCTGCAGGCAGCATCACTGCAGAGGTGGCTCAAGGAAGCCTGCACCAGAGGGAAAGAAGTATAGGGGAGGCTGTGTTCTGGAAGGAGCAGGTGGAAAGTCAAGATTTGAAAAAAGGTACAGACTGGGCGAGGTGGCACACAGCTTTAGTACCAGCATTAGGGAGGCAGAGGCAGACAGAACTCTGTGTGTTCAAGGCCAGCCTGATCTACAAAAGGCAGTTCCAGAACAGCTAGGGCTACACAGAGAAACCCTTTCTTGAAAAACCAAACCAAACAAAAACAAAACAGAACAAAAAAAAAGTTACAAAGGAAAAACAAAACAAGGGGCTGGCTGATGACTTGGCTAGTAAAGTATTTGCCTTGCACGGAGAAAGGCCTAAGTTCAGTTCCCACAGAACCCGTATTAAAAAGCCATGGGTAGTGAGGCTTGCCTGTAATCCCAGCACTGATGGAAATAGGCTAGTGAATTAGTCCCAGGCCAAGGAGAGGCTCACAAAGTGAACAGCACCTAAAGAGTGACGCCTGTGCTTCTCTGTGCACACGTGTGTTTCCTGCACTCACACAGGACCAAGGACCTGGCTGAGTTGGTTTGGATATTTTCTAGCATGCACACAGCATTAGATTCTGTTTCCAGTACCACAAAATCAAGAGTGGTGACAGAGACCAGCAGGCCTAGCACTCAGGACTCAGGGCTCAGGGCCATCCTTTCCTGCAGAGTGAGTTCAAGGCCAAGCTAGGCTACATGGTACCCTGCGTCAAGAGGAAAAAAAAGAATCTGCAAAACCAGCACATACACACACACACACACACACACACACACACACACACACACACACACAGACATTCACACACACATACACACATACATTCACACGTATATACACACACATACACACACCTTTTTCTTTTTCTAGTACTTAGGAGCTTATGTATCCCCAAAACGTTTTTGTTTTATTTGTTGTTGTTGTTTTTTTCTTGTTTTATTTTGTTGAGACAAGTTCTTTCTATGTAGCTATCCTAGAACTTGCTACGTAGAGCAGGCTGTCCTCAGACTTGCCTCTGCCTCCTGAGTGCTGGGATCAAAGGTGTGAGTCACTACACCTTGCTCTTTTATTTTTTTTCAGTACAGAGTCTTCATAAACTGCCCAACTAGCCTTGAACTTGCTGTGTAGCACAGGCTGATGAAATTATGATCCTCCTGCCTCAGCCTCCCAAGTAGCTGAGATTGCAGACACGCCTACTTATACCTTTGACTCATATCTTACAATCACTGAAGTTTCTCTACTATGTGGAGGTCATGGTACTAGAGTAACCTATTTATATTTAAAAGATCAGTTGCTAGCTAGGGGTGATGGCACATGCCTGTAATCACAGCTCTCAAAGAGGTCGAGGCAGGGGGGTCTGAGGTTCAAGGTCATCCTCAAATATATAGCAAGTTTGAGGTCAGCCTATGATAAGAGAGACCCAGTTTTTTGTGTTTTTTAAGATTGACACTACAGCTATGGTTTTGTGGATTGTTTACAGGATAATGGAGTTTATGCGAGAACATCACAGTAGTGCCTGTGGGCTCTTTAAGGTGCAGGTTGTGCTGGGTCTTCACCATGGACTTGTTTTGGCAGATACTAATTTTAAACCATTGATTTGCAGTACTGAAAATGTACATTATACGTCTTCCATCCTTGAACAAACAGAATGTGATGGGATTGAATTGAGACTTTTCTGTCATTGCTCTTTTGGAATAAAAATGTCTTGGTTCCAGAATAGCATTTCTCTAAATAGATTGGATTCTACATAGTGTAGATAGGATGACTCCTGTTGAAGGTGAAGAAGAGATGAGAAACAGCAACTAACTGGAAAGAGGGAAAAACTTGAAAAGAGCAGCAGAAAGGTGGCAGGGTGGCAGGAGACAGACAGGTGGCTGCAGAGGGCTTAAAGTGACTGGGTTCAAATCCTGTATCTACTGCCCTGTGCAAGCCATGTATATTTTCTGACAGGACTGTTAAAATGACTGAGATGATGTTTTTCTGTTTGTTTGTTTTTCTTCTCCTGGTCCATTTCTTGTCATTCTACCAGGACAGATTAGAAAACTCATTTTGAAGATCTGGGTAGCTTGTTTGTGTTTTATTGGTATAAGATTCCTCCCTGTCTACATTTGTGGTCAACTGGTTGTTACCAAAGGCCAAGAAAATTTAATAAAGAAGAGGCTGATTTTTTTTAAGTGGCAATGCCAAAAAAAACTGTATATCCACATGCAAAAGGATAGAATTGGGCCCTAACTCATACCACGTACAATACTAACCAGAAGTGGATCATAGATCTAAATGTAAGTTATGAAACTATTGGGCTCTTAAAGGAAAAAAGCATAAGTATAAATCTTTATGGCCTTGAGTTAGGCAATTTTTTTAATGACACCAAAAACATGAACAGCAAACAAACAAACAAAAACAAAAACACAAAGTAGAGCTAAAATTTAGATCTTTGTGCCTGAAGAGGTGTAGCCAAAAAAAAAAAAAAAAAAAGCATGAGCAAGGCCTGTTACGCATGCCTGTAATCCCAACTGGGACACAGAGGCAAGAGAACTTCAGTTCAATGCTAGACTATGTCACAGAGTGAGACTCAAAATTGGAGAAAAAAAAATGCGAGTCATGGATCTTACACAGGACTGAATGTCGAGAACATTCAAGAAACCAATATACCATAACGATAAAAAGATAAACAACTCAATTAAAGTGGAAAAGAACATTAATATCAATAATATGTATGTATACAGTAAACACCTGAAGAGATGCTCAGAAGCATTGGCTATTAAAGGAAGATGGATCCAAACTGCTACACGGGCCTAACATCATATTGGGTATTTTAGAAGCCTAGAGACTAAGATACTCAAGCAGTGCTCTGAATGAGACTGGCTCCCCCTTAGTCTCAGGCATTTGAACACTTGGTTCCTAGCTGGTGGTGTGGTTTGGGGAGGTTTAGGAGGTGTGGCTTTGCTGGAAGAAGTGTGTCACATCCGGCTAAGGCTCTGTTTCACGCTTGTGATTAGAGATGTGAGCTTCCAGCTTTCTGCTCCCGCCAGCAATGCCTTCTGCTTGCTATTGTGTCTCCCGCCATCATGGAAACTTACCCCTGGAACCCTAAGCCCAAATAAACCCTTCCTTCGGTAAGTTACATCAGCTTCTGATGTTTCATCACAAAAAATACAACCGATGTTGTCCGCTTTACTTAAGGAACTTCAGCAGCCATGAACTTAGCATTCATGGACCGAAATCTGGTAGACAAGCCCCTGTAGATACAGTAGGTAACTAAATGCCAAAAGGCACCCCATTGTAAACGTCACCTAGTGCGGGTTCATCGTGTACGAATCATAGCCCGTTAAACCATTTTACCAAAACAAAATCTTTCTCCCACAGCTGACTATGAATGTTCAGCAAGCATTCTCTTCATTCATTCCTACATTTCTGTTAGGCTGACTACGTGGTCCCTGTGGAGGACAATGATGAAAACTATATCCATCCCAGAGAAAGCAGCCCGCTGCGTGGTGAGAAAGGTGAGCGTTTGGAGTTGGGAGCGCTTGAAAGCTTCCAACCGTTAGCCTATGGGAGGTTGTCCAGCAATAAGCTTTGGGGAGCTCAGAATTGAAAGGGCGCCTCTCCTCTGTAGCTGCACCCCCCCCCCCCCCCGGCTAGGGGGACATCTGCTTCAGAGCTTTTCTCCTCCGGCTGCCTTCATGGTTTTATACCCAGGTTATAAAAGCACTGGAGCTGTTATCCTCAGCCGCCTTTACTCAGAATGGTTCTCAGAAGAACTAACACTCGCAGGACTGCAAGCCACAGGGTTGAATTACAAACAGTGCACCGTGAGCACTGGAGGAACGATAAAATGATAGCCCATGTACTCTACAGCCTGGCTCTTCAGTTCCACAGTGTCTCAGCCTCTGGGACACCTTGTCTTTAAACCCTGCCGGGGGATGAGAAATGCTATCTCAACACATTGTCTCAGATCAGACATATAGCAGCACCCTCCCGAAATAATGACTTTAGAAAATACAGTCGCGGGCAAATGGTGCCTCTTCAGGTGATGCTTCTCTAACAGACTGGAACAGAGAGAATTGTTCTCAACCACCCTGTGTTTTATGACAGCTCTCTCCTATACTTCACAAGCATGAGTAGCAGCTTTAAGACCAAGCCACCCAGTGCACAAAACAATATTTACACATTCCCTCTCTCTTCTCCTCAAACCACCTCAAAATCCAAGAGAACTTGTGTTTGACGGGGAAGGAGTGGTTAGTTTGGCATCACCATGTTTAGGTTTAATAAGCTCTTGATTAAAATGAAACAAAGCTTTTGAGGTTTTTACCTGCTTTTGTCTCCCAAGCCTCCAGGTAGGTGATATTCTGATCCAGGAAGTGCTTTAACAGATCATCTTTATCTCATTCCTTTAGTCACTAATACATCCATCCCAGAGCTTCCACTGAGAAGATTTCTTTGGATGGTTTATGGGATTAAGGAGGGTCATGGAATTTTTGCAGATTCTCTGGTTTGACTGTCTTTCTCTCTATGAGGACTTTCCTCCAGTGGAATGTGCCTGTAATCACTCCATGTATGTTTCAGCTCCCACAGTGAATAGATCGACCAAGCCAAACAGCTCCTCGAAGCCAGTATCGCCTCCAGGGAATGTCACAGGTAAAGCTCATGTGTGGTTTGGTTTTGAATCTGTTCCAAAAGAGATGTACAACTAAGATCATACATGATATCCCCAAGTTTCCTGATAACCGGGAACAAAGTCTTAGTTTTTTTGTCCATGCCCACAAGCTTCCTGGCAGTGGCCTGACCTCTACCCACTGGCCTGCAAAATCATCTCCCTCAATATGATAGGCAAAAATATCCCCACGTGGTACCAAGTATCTCTGAGTTGGGATCAACTTGCAGCCAATGAGAACCACCAGTTTAAATAAACCTGACAGCACAGTTAATAGGGACTTGCCTCCCAGTAAGAATTTAAAGAGGGGAAAGTTCTTGTCTGATCTGTAGCTTTGGTCAGGAAAGGGTACATAAAACCTGTATTACTGAGCTTTCTCTAAGTTGGTATTGTTAGGATTTAGCTGTGGAGTGCCTTGGTGGGTCCTGGCCAAGATTATGCTGCAAAGATCAGACCATGCAACAGATCTCACAGGAAAGATTTATTGGGGGCAGGGTGCAAAAAGCCATCTCAGATCAGGGCCATGAGAAAGAGACAGAGAGTCAGAAAGCAATGGGGGGCAGGGAGAGAGAGAGAGAGAGAGAGAGAGAGAGAGAGAGAGAGAGAACAAGAGACAGACAGAGAGACCAGGAGACAGAGAGGGCTGTGATGGGGGGACCTTTTAAAGGGTTGGCAGTTAGTGATGATGTGGCTGCTGGTGCTGAGTCTCTAAGGGCAGGCTGCGGGAGCGCCTGATTTTTAATAGGCATCATTTTAAAATTTAAAACCTTCCAGTGGTTGTGCACACCTTTGATCCTAGCATTCAGAAGGCAGAGGCAGGTGAATCTCTGTGAGCTCAAGGCCAGCCTGGTCTACAGAACAAGTTCCAGAATAGCTAGGGCTATACAGAAAAACCCTGTCTTGAAAAACCAGTATAAACAAACAAACAAATAAACAAACTCTTGAAAGTTACAAATCCCTACAAATGTGAAAACTGAATTTCACACTGTCGCATGCTAAATTGTTGCAGAATTGCTGGGTGGTGCCTTTTGTGTGCATGCCTGATGCTACATACTCTAATAATAGCAGAAATGTAGCAGTCTCCAAGCATGCTTGCAAAGACTGGAGCTCTGGAGTTTAAAGTACTGAGATTGGGGGTGGAGGGGTAGAAAAAACAGAGTGAATATTTAATGTGGAGCTGAAGTAGATTGATGTGCAAAATACACACAGGAGCAGGTCATACACAGGAGCAGGACACACTGACGCCCTGTAAATGAATCCCTAGCTGAAAAAGTAGCAGTTGCCACCCAAACCTGCTCCTATAAAACAAATAATTCTAAATTTCGAGCTCAGGACAGATAGCAACTGAAGCTGTTTTTGCTTGTTTGTTTGTTTGTTTTGTTTACGTTCTACTTTTATGCTTTTGGTACATCACCCATCACGCTTCTCCCTTAGAGTGTCCCAACCAAGACATGGGCTCTTTCAGAAAGGGGAAAGGTGGCTGCCGGGGATGCCACTGCTGAGGTGTCCTACTGGTGTGCTTCTCGGTCTGGCTGCAGAAGGGAGAGCAGAAGGGCCCAGGTGGCAAATAGAGGAGCATGTCTCCATTCTCCCTTAACAGTCACAGAAGCACCCTCCTTCCTCTCCAGAAGAGAGGCGATGGTGACCCAACCTGCACAGTAAACCCCCGAAGAACAATATGGAATCTTGGCTGAAGAGAAAGTGCCTACATGGGTTCACTGCTCAGGTGGCCCTGCCGCTTGCCCTCTCTGAGCCTCCATCTGTTCCACCTGGCATTAGTGAGGTACAGATGGCACATTTGCAACCCCTAGCACCCTGCCAGCACCCAGAGACACTGGGGTGTTTATCACAAGATACTAATGATAATCCTTTTTACTAATCCTTTATGACTTATAATTTGATTATTATAAAACTCACCCATGTTAGCATAAAGTCAAGGATTTTTATGAACTCTGCTGTTTATAGTAACACATTATGTAACCACCGACACAGCTCACTTTTAGAACATTTCCATGCCCATCCCCCAAGATCCCTTATGTCCATTTTTATATAGTCAGTGCTATTTCCACTCCTGGCTCCAGGCAACCACTTGTCTTCCTTCGTTGCTGTATACCGGCTTTTGCTGACATTTTTGTATAGACAGGATCACTCACTATGTGACCCTGCACATCTGCTTCTGCACATCTGGCTCTTTCATCTTACTATAAAAATTTTAAGCCAGGTGCTGTCCATGCCTGTAACCCCAGCACTTTGGGAGGCAGAGGCAGGCGAATCTCTGTGAGTTTGAGGCCAGCCTAGTCTACAAAGTGAGTTCAAGACAGCCAAGGCTACACAGAGAAACCCTGTAACAAAAAACAAACAAACAAACAAACAACAACAAAAAACAAAACAAAATTTAGTCATCAGGAATGTTTGCTCCTTTTCTAGAACTATTGGTTCTGGCTATGTCTGGCTGATTCATTAAAATGTCAGATTTATTCTATTATCTGACAAAAACTGAACTTGATGAGTGTCCTCACTTCACAGAGCACCTGAGATGCTGTTTGTAAGAAGTCATTCAGCTAGTGTGATGACAGAGAAGTAACCAGAATGTTGTCTTCCTAATGCCAGACAGCGGTGGATTTCTTTTTTTTTTTTTTTTTTTTTTTTTTTGTCTTAATGTATTTGTCAGGGCATGGGACATGCTCTTGCCATGGCGCACATGTGGAGGTCAGAGGACAGCTTTGTAAAGTTGGTTCCCTCCTTTCACCGTGTGAATTCTGGGGGTTGAACTTGGGTCCTCAGGCTTGGTAGCAAGCACTTTTTATCTGCTGAGCCACTTCATTGGCTCAAGAATGTGGGTTTTGCACTGGCACCATGGGCCAGTACCTGAGAGCAGAGCTGGGAGGGCCATGCACCAGAAATGGGTTGAGCCCATATGTGTCTAAACACCTTTGCTGAGAACACCTGTACATTGTACTCAGTGCAAGCAGGAGCTCCTGGCTCCCTCTCAAAGGAACTTTTGTGTGTCCCACTGGGCTCCAAGACCTTTCCAGGGCCCCTGGACTTGCCCATGAGTCTAAGGAGAGGGTCTTCCAGCGGCATTAGAATGGCATTCTAGCCTATAGCCTGTGTCAGAGTCCATATGTTGACATTTTTTTCTTTGTTCGTGTATGTGTGTGTGTGTTTTCACAGATGAATGGGTACATGTACACATGCAGGCCTGAGATTGATTTTGAGATTCATCATCCTCCATCACTCTTATTTATCAAGGCAGGATCCCTCAGTCAAACTCAGAGCTTATCAACATGGTTAGTCTTGCTCCTAGATTTCTCTGAGTTTCCCCTCTCTACTTTCTAAGACCGTCATTATAAAGCAGGCCGCCACACCCATCTGGCCTTTACATGAGTTCTGAGGGTCTGAACGCTGGTCTTCAACTATCCCCCGGCCCCTCTGTAGGCATTTCAGATTTCTCACACCTGTGCCCATTCATTTGCCCCCCTCAGCTTCAGTGTCACTACATACATGCATGCACTTCACTAAAAGGAACCCAAAACACGTGTATCCCAGAAGGGGCGGCCTCACTAAGCCAACCATCCCTGAAAGCAGGACAGAGTGACTGACTCGTTTATATGCTGTGCAGGTCGGAACAGTGGGGTCTGGGACTCCAAATCATCTTTTCCCGCTGCACCATCCCCACTGCCACGAGCCGGGTGAGTACTGACTGAGGAGAGTGGTTCTATGAGATGTGGGGGTTGGGGGGTGGGGGTGGGAGAACCGAGCTGCTCTGCAGATTCCTGTTAGTTCTCCTTCCCCAAGGCAGCCTAAATGTTGGACCAGAGGAGCTGCCGCTAAAGTTAGAAATGAGGAGTCTTGCCTCCCATAGAGTCAGTTTTAGATAAATTCTGAGTTCATTCCCTCACTTGCTGCCATTTGCAAGGCACCCCGACTTTTAGCACCTGATAGCTCTGAGATCTCCAAGTAGGATCAACCTTTACTTTTCTTCTCCCTGGTTTCGTTCACAAGTACTGTGTGGCCTCTATAAAAGTGAACCAGGCATCATAACAGGCAATAGGGTATTTTGCAGGATGAAGCTTATGGGATTTAAAGTGGCTTTGGAAGCTGCTGGGTATTAGGGCATGTTAAGAGACATCATATTAGTTGCTTTTCTATTGTTATGATAAGACACTATGACCAAACCAACATATAAAAGAAAGTATTTATTTGGACTTAGTTTCAGATGGCTAGGGATCATGATGCCAGAGCGAAGGAATGGTGGAAAGCTTATAGATCTTGATACACAACCATGAGGCAAAGAGGGAAGAGAGACTGAAAATGGCACAAGCCTTTTTAGACCTCAGATCCTGCCCCCAGTGACACACCTTCTCTAACAAGGCCATATCTCCTAATCCTTCCCAAACAGTTCTACCTATTGAGAACTAAGTATTTAGATATGTAAATCTACCAGGGACATTCTTCTGCAAACCATACAGTTATGTTGGTTCAGTAGTTTGTTACAAAAGTACACTTAATGAGCTGGAAAATTGGCTCAGTGGTTAAGAGCAGGCAATGCTCTTCCAGAGGACCTGAGTTTGATTTTCAGAGCCCATACCAGGGGGCTTAGAAACACCTGCAACTACAGCTCCAGGGGATCCGACAAATCTGACCTGCACAGGTACATATTCAACATACACACACATGCACAATATTAGTAAAATAATCTTTTTTTGAAAACCACACTTAAATATGTATAAATCTGGCCTGCATGGTTACAATCTTAATTCTAGTGGAATTTCCAGTGGAAACCAAAAAAGCCTTAATTTCAGGGATTCTCTCTTAGCTTCACATTGAGCAATTACTTAGTCTTTCTGAGCTTGTTTCCTGATCTATAAAATAATAGAAAATAATAATAGATAATAATAGAAAAAAATTGAGATAGTGTCTCACTATGTAATCCTGACTAGCCTGGAACTCCCAATGTAGGTCAGGCTGCCTGCCCTCTGCCTCCCACATGCTGGAATTAAAAGCTTGTACAACCGCACAGAGTTTCTTGTGGGTTTTACTGTAAAATACACTTTGAAAAGTTATTTAATTGGTTTAAGTAATCTGTGAGGAGCTTAGCCTAGTTTCAGATATACCTCTTATAGACATTTGATTATTATTAGTACTCTTCCCTTATACTTCATCCCTCAGGAAAAAAATGAGAGAGTTCACTAGGGAGGAAGAGAGAAGAGATTGGGCAGCTGAATACAGCAAAGGGGAAAGAATTCAGAATAAACTCCAACAAGAAGCATAAAGCCTTAGCAACACTAAAGTCCAGGATCTATTAAAGCCAAGATAAATGGAAATATTGGCTTGGTGCACACATTCAGGACTGTAAATCATAATGGCTTTGAACTAGTTGGGCCTAGAAAACAGTCATCTTGAAGCAGAAGTTGATGTGGGAAGGTAATGGCAGCAAGCTCACCTGCTTGACAATCTTTTTTTCTCCCCTTGCGCCCCAGGCAGTGTCCATAGGGTACCAGAGGTGTGGGAGGATCTCTGCATTTACCTCGCTCCTCATTTCACACTGAGGAAGCTAAAGTGCACAATTGTCTCACAGCCAAGAGAAGGGGCCCAAGGTCACCAAGCAGCTAGCAGCAGACCTGAGACAAGAGCTGCTTCTGATGACTCTGGGATACTAGGCCCTTGTTTGTTAACACTAATGTGATGGTTTGAATAAGCAAGGTCCCCATAGGCTCAGATATTTGGGTGCTTAGGGATTGGCACTACCTGGAAGGATTAGGAGGCGTGGCCTTGTTGGAAAAAGCATGTCACTGAGCGTGAGCTTTGAAGACTCAAAGGCTAATACCATACCCAGAGTCATTCTCCCTCTCTTTCTGTTACTGTCTCTCTGTGTGTCTCTGTCTCTCTGTCTCTATCAGTTGCTGTTCCAGCACCTACCTGCATGCCACCATGCTCCCACCATAATGATAATGGTGGACTCAACCTGTGAAACTATAAGCAAGGCCCAATCAAATGCTTTCTTTTATAAGAATTGTCTTGGCCACGACATCTCTTCACAACAACAGAACACCAGCTAAGACAAGTAACCCTTTTTCATCTGTTGGAAGGATCTCACAATTAAATCCTCCATCCATCCCTATCAGTCCTTCAGGAGCAGTCTTCCTACCCAGTGTCCTCACTTTTATGGTTTATGTCTAAGAAGGTGTTAGTTCCGTCTCATCTCGCACGTGTTTTAACAAGGCTAATCTTTTATTCCCCAGGAAGAAAACAGCTACACCACTGAAGACAGTAAGTTGATCTTGCACTTGAAAGTGCTTCACATTTCCTGCATTATCTATTGTTATCTACTTACTTAAGGTCAACCCAGAGGGACTTCTAACGTTCAGGGGGCTGGGAAGGAGCTACTCCCGATGAGCTGGTCCTCCCCGATTGTGTGCATTGGATAACAGAGGGCGTACAGGCATCCAGGCCTCTGTCATTGCAGAAAGCCTCTGTCCACTTCCTGCCTTGCTGATCCCAGAGCAACTGGCAGACCAGCATGTATCAGATAAATAGCCACAGACTAAGCTCAGCTTCTGGCCAGAAAGGGGTGACCCTGGGCCAGCTCCAGATGCAAGGCAGCCCAGCTGGGCCTGGCCTTACTGTAGAACCTGACAGTGCCTATCAGAAGGTGGGGACCTGGCCAGATGCCGGATGCCCACTGCACTACTGGCTGGTAGCTGCTGAGGGTCACAGTGTCCATCAACACTGTTAGTGATGTCCCCACAAGGAAATGGATTGCTCCTCCCCATCAGACAAATTCATCCAGTTTCCAATGAATGAAAAGGTTGGGCTGGAACCCTGCCACAACTCTCTGCCAGCACAGTTATTGTAATATTGCTCAGACTTAGCTCCATGTTCTGCTTGGCTGACTGTCCTTGCCTTTTATTTTTTTCTTAACATAGACTCCAGCTGCCCCTCCACAGAACGCATCAAGTGTTTGTGAAGGTAAATATATTTGTTCTGAAGCGTGTACACTAAAAGTAATTTTTCAATTAATGATTTGCATATAGACCCTTCATTCTGAATGCTTTTCATTATTTATGAGCCAATTGTTAATATAAAGCCAATTCATCTAAATGATGAATCTTTTGCCTGTGGTCATGAGCAGCAAAGTTGGCTCAGGAGCCTGAGCTTAGCAGGCAGGGGCTGTGGAGGAGGCTACAGCCTGCTTGCCACTTACCTAATACAAGTGGTCACAGCCAGCTAGAAAGCAATGTGCTGGTACTAAGTATGACCTTAGAGCCATCTACCAGTCCCAGAATTAACAGCTTAGACAAGGTAATGGATTTTTAAAACTCTGTTTACTTAAATAAGTTCTGTTGCTAAGGCTTCAAAGTTCAAATGCCCATTGTCTTAGTACATCTTTAAATGCTTCTCTGTTTTTGCTTCACCATAACTCAAGAAAAACATTCTTTTTAATGACCTCCATTTTTTAAAAAATTGTATTTGAAAAGCATGAATGGGGACAGGAAAGAGATAGCAAGATTCATTCATGATGTCAACACTTGGAACATAAAGACATTGAAGCCTTGCACTCACCCACTTTCACACATGAGGCCACCCTCTGCTTCATTTCAGGGCGTGTCCTTTCACCATGACCTAAGTCAGTGTCTGCACAGAACATGTGGCGTCCCTGCTCATGGGACACTGGCTATTTCTTTTCTTTTTCTGAGCAAACATTGCAGCTCTCATCTCTGCTTTCATTTCACCATCAAGGTTTCCCCCCAATTCTACTTTCCACTTCTTTCCTTTCCCCAGGCTGTTTCTGCCCCACCTCCTCCTCTGCTGTCCTGTGGGTCTCTGCCTCCCCTTTGAAGTTTTTCTGTTCCTGGACATCCCATGCATACCTTGCTTGTCTTTCCAGTCTCTCCACCCTGATAAGCAGCAGCAAAGAGTACTAGTGACCTGGGGCCTCTGTGAAAACTTTAAGGCTTCAGAAATTTCGGAAACCAACTTGTACTGGGCTATTGGCATGCCTCCTGCTGCTTGGAAGTCTTTCTCAGGGGGTCCCCGCAGAGGGGCAAATTGCTTCCTTTGGACTCATTCCAAGAGCGTAGGCAGGAGCCACCTAAACACAGAGGGAGAAAGCAGCATCCTCTGCCCTGGGGAAGAGACCTCAGGGTTGTGAAAGATGAATGAGAAGGACCCACACAGAAACTAAAAACCTGAGACTATACAGAGCTTTATTTGGGTTGGGGGTCGGACAACTCTATAAGAAATCATTGCCCATGGTGTGCTTACAAGCTGGGGTGCAGGTTGAAAAGTTTCCTTGTTCAGCTGGCACGTGGCCATTGCTGGAATGACCAGTGAGTGCATAGTCAGTTAAAGAATCCGAGATGACTGATAGACTGACAGGCTCATGGCTGAAGACCCTAGGGCAGGAAGTCAGGAATCCAGAGAAACAACCTACTTGAGCTCTTGTATGTGAGTGGATGCAAGAAAAGAAACTTTTGGCATGACTGTCCATGATGTGCCTAATGTTTTCTATTGTAGATATGAAAGAGAACAGACAGGCATCTGGAAATGTCTAGAGCAGAGAGGGAGAAAAGTAGACTCAGCATGGACAGGGCTAGGGAAGCAGGAGAGAATAGTGAAGATTACGAGAGATAGAGAATAGAGCGTAGCTAGGGAGGGTAAGAGAATAAAATAGTGGGAATAGCCAGGTTATAAAAAAGGATGAGTAGCTGAGGGGAGGGAAGCCCATGAGCTGGAGGGAGCTTAGGGTAGAGGAGGAGGTCAGAAAGGCTAGGATGTCAGCATGGACTTTGAAATGTGTAACAGGTACCTGTGATACGGAGGGAACCCAGAGGCCAGTGTGGACTTTAATATCTTGATAGGCCCCACATGACTCCTTTTGGCAGATAGGAACCAGTTTCACAAGTCTCTGAGGAATGCTGGCTTTTATCTAACAGCCAGAAATCTTACAGTCCAACTTGAGCTCTTTTCTGGATATTTGGATAGCCCAAGAGACCTAACAGATCTGGTAATGAAATTACTATAATTATGGGAACCGCCACAGCTCAACCAAAATGGAGGAGGTTTTACAAGTCGGCAAGGCCCTGGCTAACAGAGCATAGAGACGACGTAGGGTGGGCACAGCTTAAGGCTGCTGGAAGCTGATGCGGCTCCATTGTGCTCCTTTGGGAATTTCTGAGTTATAAAGAAATAAGCACAAAACTAGCTTGACAACTCAAAGTAATCTCCACACGTTTAGAATACCTTTAGCATTCAAGGCTTTCTGAATATCAGTGCATGTAGGCTCACCACTTAGAACATTTGAGTTTGAGTTTTCACTGCTTCTCTTCCTTTGAAGTTCCTGTAACCTTTTGCCTTTCTGGATGTCTCACTTTAAAGTTTCCTATGGGAGTCAATAGTCCTTTCCTTTCCTTTTCTTTTCTTTTCTTTTCTTTTCTTTTCTTTCTTTCTTTCTTTCTTTCTTTCTTTCTTTCTTTCTTTCTTTCTTTCTTTCTCTCTTTCTTTCTCTTGAGACAGGGTCATTCTTTATAGCCCTGGCTGTCCTGAAACTCACTCTGTAGACCAGGTTGGCCTCAAACTCAGAGATCTACCTGCCTCTGCATCCCAAGTGCTGGTATTAAAGACATGGGCCACCACTACCCAGCTTCAACAGACATTTCCTAAGGTTCATGTTTATGCCTGCTTCCTGCCCTCCCTCCAGAACATGCTGAGATCCAAGTGACATTCACATTCACTGGTAACCTAGACTTTGATTCAACAGGTGTATATCATTCATGAATCCCAAGATATTTTTCTTAACCTCTCATCGGCAGTAAGTTACTTACGCCGCATCCCATAACTAATCAAGACACGGGAAGGTATGGTAACACCTGAAGGGAGCCTACACGGAAAACAGAGAACGAGTCACACAGAGGCTACGAAGCCTGCTCATCTCCTGGTACCCCTCTGTGCTCAGACACTTAAAAGTCCAGTACCCATGGGTTCTGTCTCCATGTACACTGCTGAAGGGGGAGCTATCAGCATATCCTGTAATGCTATGGTGAGGAAGTCTTGGTCCTGAGAGCACCTGCCTACCAAGAGAGTAACAAGCATACAGAACAAGACCTTCTTAGAAGACATCTGGCCAAAGAGGCTGTATTTGGGGTCGGGACAAACGTTTTACTTCAGTACTAATGGGAGGCCTCTCCTGTCCCAGAAAAACCTGTTCCTGCTGAACGCCACCGAGGGTCAAGTCACAGACAAGACACTGTACAGTCGCCAGGGTTTCCTCCCACCCAGAAGTAAGAACCCTTCCATTTATGCGCATTTATTGTTTTAAAAATATTTTCATTTTGATTTTGTAGTTACGTCTGTATGTGAGGATATGTTGTGTGTGTGTATAAAGAATATTGGAGCCCCCGGAGTTACAAGTTTGTGAGCTATCCAGTGTGGGCACTGGGAACTGAACTCAGGGCTTCCGGAAGAGCAGAAAACACCTACCTTTCCTACCCTTTTTATTTATGTATTTAGTTAAAGTCAGGGTCTCACTCTGCAGCCCCAACTTTTCTGGAAATCCTTATGTATGTAGCCAGGCTGCCCTTTAATTCAAGTCTCTCCTGCATCATTATCCAGGGTGCAGAGATAATAGATCATAAGATAGCTTTTTTCTTATCAGCAGAATCCTTCCCTTTAAAAATGAGTTTCTTCTTGTTTCTATGGAAATTCGTTGTCATGCAACGTCGCTCAGGGATCCAGTGTTTCATTGCTTCTTAATTAACTCTGGAAAGCTGTTAAGTAACCTAAGAGACTGTAGAATTTCAGAGACTCAGTCTTCAGGTTACTGGTCTTACCTAGCATACAGTACTGCAGTCAAGGCTCATCCTTTTTCAAAGCTAAAGGGAGAAATCTTGGTTTTCCAAAGGTTCTGTTGCCCCTCCCGTCTTTAGATCTCATTATCCTTTGGTGTGGAGTCTCCAGATTTTGTGTTGTGTACTGTAATTGTGTATTATTTAACCCACATTTCTTCCTTTCAGACCTATCCATCAAAAGCCTGTACCTCTGCCAAGTAAGTACAATGGGATCATGATGGCCCACCATGGGTGAGGGCTAGGGCCAGGCATGAGAGCTAACAGCACCATCACATCCACTGGGCCAGTGGCATCTCTTCTTTGCCTTCTTGTCTATAAAATAGGGCCAAAGATGTTTATTTCATTGAGTTATTTTGAAAGGTAAATATTTTCCATCTTTAGTATTGATTGAATAGTTATCAGTTGGCATTATTAAAAAATACAATGAAGCTATTTTCAAAATCAGATTAAATACCAGAAACAGTGCTTGGCATCTAGAAGGTTCTCAATAAATGGTAGGTATTTAAATTTGAAATACGTTTTAATGAACCTCACACATATCTATAAAATGTACCTTAAAATGAGAGTGTGGTATGTATCTGGGTAATTTTACCAACATAAATATCACTTTAAAAACACACTTCCTCCAACAGGGCTACCCCTACCCCAGCGAGGCCGCCCCTCTATCTACCTCTCCCTGTGAGTCTATGGGGGCCATTATCCTTCAAACCACCACACTCGGTCATAGCATTTTATCCCAGGAAGAGAAAAGTAGATAACACAGCAGGGAAATTTTTCCTTCTATTAAACTGTTCATTACTTATTAAAAAAAAAAAAAAAGAAAAAATAAGCACATGGGAGAGAGGGACAAGGCATGAACGGATTTTGATTAGCAGAAGGAATGGTTGAAAATAAAATAACTGAGGTCGGGCAAATTTAATAAAAAAGCTTAAAATTTGAAAGTGCTAAGATATTAGATATCCAAAAGGGAACTGGTTAAATAGTGTAAGGCTGGGTATGCAGGGCTTCTCATGACTGTCTTTGTGTTTACCCTGATGAGACAGGAAGCAAAGCAAAAAGAAGAGTCTTGGCTATGTCATTCACTATATATTACTGTTATGTAAACTGCTGTTATATACATTATGTCACAAATATATTATTTCTGTTTGTAACTATGATTTTTGTTCGTTTTATTATTCTCTTATATATTTATATTTTTAGTGAATTTAAGCTTTATGGGTTGTAAGCACTCATAATCTCACAATTTGTCAAATTATGCAAGTTTTCAGTGATAGGATTAACGTCAGAGGCCCATGCATATAGATAAGTGCCCTACCACTGAGCTATACACTGAGCATGGTATCTTATTAATCGTTCAGTTAAAATACTTCCCACTAATAAATACATATGTATTTGATTTTTATATATTAACATCTATACATATGAATCCAATCTGGAGAGATGGATCGGTGCAGTTCCCAGCACCCACAAAGGCCTGTAACTCCAACTCCACGAACCTATCTTTTCCTGGCATCTTTGTGCATCTGCACTCACATACATGAACACACATATACAATTAGAAATACAATCTTTAATATATACATGCATGACTCAGACAAGTCAGGCTCATAGAATGTAACCACTCCCATCCTTCATTTTCTTTCAACTCAAATCAGGGAGCGAAAAACAAAAAGGGAAAATTTTACACATAATTTGGAACATATTCTAAAATAATCAAGGTTAACCATTCAAATAAACAAAAAAATACATTTGCATTTTACTACTTAAATTTTTTTTTTTTTAGTTTTGAATTACACTTTTGGTCCACTTCAAATAAAATGAAACTCATACTAAGTCGTCTTTCTGTTAATTCTAACATAGAGTGAAAATGATTTGTCTGTAGAAATGTATTTTTCTGCTTTAAAAGCTTTGTTTTATCTTTTGCTTTCCCACTTGAGTCATTCTTTCATGTTACTGGCCATCCCTATACCATGTGCCAGCCACTGTCTTGGGCTGAGGAGAGACCTGGATGAATCAATGGCCTTGTCCTGAAGTTAGGTTATTGCTGAAGGGGACAGGAATCAGCACAATAAACATGGAGATAAACAGTCTCAGGTTAGGCAACCCTAAAGTGCCATGAAGAGCAAGGTGACGGGGGAGGGGGTGCTAGAGACTGACGGGGATTGTGAGTCTGGGAATGTTTCCTCTGAGATGGGGTACTCCAGCTCCTACCCCCCTCCCCAAAATAGGCAAAGACAAAACGTTAAAAACAGAGATGTCCCAGCACATATTCATGATTCTAAAAGTGTTAGTCTTGACGCTCCCCTGTCTGCCCAATCCTCACAAATCAGCCGGCACCACACAGGTAGGTGCCCTAGGGAAGTCTGACCACCCCCTCGGCTTTGCTATTCCATCTGAAAGTGCTGGTTCCACCTGTCCTGAAGCCTCCTCAGTGAAACTGCCTTCTGGTTCATCATTCTTGAGAGCACTCAGGACTCTCAGTGCCACATGGGCAGCGATGCTAATGTCACGACTGCGCAGCCCTTTAAAGTTCAAGTTCCAAGAAGGCAGAGCAGTTGGCTGGTGTGTGTGTGTGTGTGTGTGTGTGTGTGTGTGTGTGTGTGTGTGTAAACTGGCACTGGATTACATTTTATAAATTCTATTTACCTCTGAGACAGGGTCTCACTGTAGTAGCCCAGGCTGGCTATGAACTTGTGACCCTCTTCCCTCAGTTTCCTAGTAGCTGATATTATGGCCTGCATTACCAGGTCCAACTTGACAGGACTTTTAAATGTTTGAAGCCAATAGTCAGTTGCTATACTAGTTGAAATAGAGTAAACCCAGGTTTTTCAGAGATAGGTGTGTGCCAAAAGATCTCTCAAACAGCTGAAAGGATCTTGGGGCCTTAAAGGGGTCCTGAGGCCGCCCCTTGAGCAGTATTGTCTTAAGGATTTTCCAGTTCTGTGTGTGTGTCATAGCACTAGCTCAGCAGTGAGGCATGAGCGCTGCAGCGCACAGGAACTAGTGATGACTAACGGAGTTTTCGAATCTCTTTCAGGGTTTCCGGAAGGGGGAGGGCCCACCGTAGATGGACCGTTACCCAGCTTTTCATCTAATCCCACTTTTGCAGACCAGGTAGGGCGTGGGCTTAATGTCAGTGGACTATTCCTGTGGAGTTCAGAAAGGGGCACATCTCCTGAGAAGGCAGTCTGGGGGAAGGCTCAGGATGGAGTCTGCATTTTAACTGAGTTGTTCTGATGGATACAGAATATCCTGGTTTTGTTTTTTTTTTTTTTTTTTAGTGACTAAGAGAGACCTCATCCCATTTATTCTTGTTTCTCTTCCAGATGCCCCAAATAACAATTAGTGTTTCTTTAAAATAGTGAGGCAATGTGTTGTTTTTGTTGTTATTCCTCTCACATGGATTTTATTTAAACTTTACAATTTCCTCAGAATAGACCTGTGAAAGCTTATGATGTTAAAGCCTATGCCAAACAGAACAGCATAAATAGAGACAGAGAAAGGACTCTTGAATTAAGGCCCCTGAATTAAGTCTCTTTGAGCTTGTGTAAAGATTTGAAGGTGATAAGCGAATAAGTATACTCATTTGTCAAAACCAAGTAAGATAATATTACTGAAACACTGGCAACTGGGAGCTGGATAAACAGTTGTTGGTAAAGTGCTTGCTGCACAAACATGAGGGTTTGAACCCCATCTCCAACCCCCCCCCCAAAAAAAACCCAGAATAACCAGGGTTTCATTCCCAGCACCTACATGGCAGCTCACAATTGTCTATAACTCCAGGATCTGACAACCTCACACAGTCATACATGCAGGCAAGACACCAATAGACATAAAATAAAAATAAATAATAATAAAAACGAATAATAGCACAATGAGAAAAGAACATATTCTTTACTTAGGAGGGAACCTAATGAGGTACATATATGTTTTAGCACTAAATTTAGCAGCTAATGCCAAATGGGAACAAGCTAGCCATAGAATCGTTGTGGTTGGCCAGGGGAAGCACAAAACTTATTTTAGCAGTACTGGTGAAGAGGTAGATTATTGTTCCTGTCTTGCAAAACGGGCCATTTCTGCATGAAGGTTAAACTCTCAGGTACCTTGAGGACCAACTCCTGTTTCGCGTGCCTCTGTTCCACAGGAAGCTGAGCTTCACGGTAAGCCCTGGTATGCTGGCGCCTGTGACCGCAAGTCTGCAGAAGAAGCCTTGCACAGATCCAACAAGGTTTGGGCATTGAAAATTTTCACACTGTGCCCTCAGTTCACATAAATCAAACTAGTAAACTAGCAGGGGCAGGGGCTGTCTCCCTGGACTTTCTCCTCTCTTAGGATCACCCCCATTGTCTTATCATCTCCTTCCTATTTACCTTTAATGTCAAGCTCTGGGGTGGGGGTGGGGTCCACTACTCCCAAACAATGGAGAGAGGTGGGAGGCAGGGGAGGCCTGGGGAGACCTGATGATGCAGGAGCCCAGCCTTGGAGTGAGGGAAGACAGGCTAGTTTGAACCAACCCATTGGACTGACAATCTGGATAAAGGCAGCAGAAACTACTATGAATTTTGTTTTTGAGAGCTCATCATTGGGGACAGATGAGATAATGCAAGATTAAAGTTTCCTTTTCAATTCCTCTGTTCTCCCTTGTTTTTTTAAAGCTCAAATCCCTGTCAAAATGTCATCAATTAGCTGGCGAGGGTCCTTTGCTCTGCCAAGACAGAAATTGTTGGTAGACTGGGAGAACGCGTTTTAGAGCTGTCAACAAGTTAAGGTTCCCAGTTTTTGCCTCTTTCTTATCCGGCCCATACTAGTTAGGGAAAAAATGAACACCTTTTTGGAGAGCCAATGCTGCATAACAGGAAAAGTAGAGAGAGACCGGGTTTGGGGAGAGGGCGTGTTTTGGACCAGGCACAACCTGTTTGTGTGTGCCATCACATCCTTGCCTCCTTATCACTCACCATCACTGAGGCTTGTGTTTTGAACCAACCACTGTCTACCTCCTTAGCTAGTCCACCAGGAGAAGGGCTAACCCCTTGGCCAAGGTGGAACTGGTTGCAGGGCTGTCTAGGGTTGAGTACAAGTTCACCACTGCTGCTACTGTTTCAGTGAGCCCTGGTCAACTCCACATCCTTTGGAGCCAGGACAATCAGCCACAAGGTTTTCAGAGCTGCCTAAAGGCCTCCATGTCACTCTTCGGTGGCCACCACTGTCCAGTCAACTCTGCTGCAGTCCACGATAAATGCTGTGGTTGTCTCCATGGTTTGCTTAGGGTCACACATTAAGTCTCTATTGGAGTTTACTTAGTCCCCAGAACTCTTGTAAATTTTATTCGGTTCTGAGACAGATTTTGTTTTGTTTTGTTTGTTTTCAAATTTATTCCTAAGGCTCATCACTGATTATTACATTTCTTCTTTCTGTCTTTTAGGTTACGTCTTGTGTATAGCTTTTTTTAATGTATGATTCTAAATGATTTTAGTAAAATATTTAATACACATTGGTATATTTTTTACAGTTTTTCTACTTTAACATAAGTCTATTGAGGTGAGAGTTTTCCTCAGCTGAGAGCTTGAATCTCCAGCTTCTACTTTCTTATGGTTTAGATTTCTACTTAGGGAACTTGCAAACATGGGCTCTAGTTCAAGTGACTCTAGGTTTAGTCTTACTGTGTCCTTTTACGTATTTCTAAGTCTCAGTGAGCACAATGCCTCAGTTAACATATTAAACATTAGCATCGACTTCACTCAAGTTTGTCTGAGTACCCGTCATAATAAACAGTATTCTTAGAAAATAATACAACAAATTTTAATTGATAACAAAAACATGGAGCTAAATAATATTTGAGAATAATAAAATACTCTTCAGAAGCCAATTTGTAGCTTATAGAAATATAACTAATACTATCACTATGCTTTACTTTTATTACACAGGATGGATCATTTCTTATTCGGAAAAGCTCTGGCCATGATTCTAAGCAGCCATATACGCTGGTTGCGTTTTTTAATAAGCGAGTATATAATATTCCTGTACGGTATATTGAAGCAACCAAACAATATGCTTTGGGAAAGAAGAAAAATGGTGAAGAGGTTAGTACTTATCATTTTTCTGTTTATATACTTAGTTGTTGTTGTTTTTTTTTTTTTTTTTTTTTGAGACAGAGTCTTAATATGTATTCTAGGTGGACCTGAAACCTTCTAGCCCAGGCTGGCCTTGAACTCAATCCCCCTGAGTATGGGATTACAGGAAGGTACCACTATGGCTGGCTGGTAACTCCTTTTTAACTCAGTTCTACATCTATTTTGAGCACAGTGGCAGCATGCTTTGTTAGGTGCCAGGGATAAAGGAAAATGATACAAAAGTAGTTGGTCTTAGGGGTTGTGTATATGTCATAAGTAGAAAATAAGATAAAATACCATGTTTTAAAATACAATATTTGTAGTAGATGATGCACACTGTGTAATAGCACATCCCATGAGAAAGCAGAAGAAAAATGGTGCAATGCATGTCAGAGCATTTCTGTTTAATTTTAAAATTCTATGTCTTTGTGTATGGTGTGCATGTGTGTGGTACGGGAAGGCCACAGGCTAACATGTGGGAGTCCTTCTTGATCCATCCCCACTTACTGCTGGAGGCAGGGTCTTTTGACTAAATATGGCTACTCTAACTAGCCACTTATTTTAGTTTTCCCCTAGGTCTGTCTTCTGAGACCTGGAATTACAGGCAGGCCACTCTGTCCACCTGGCATTTTTATGGGCACTGGGCATCTGAACTCCCACATGCATGCTTGGACAGCAAGTGCTTTTTCCGCTGAGCCATCTCCTCATCCCTTCTCCACCTAATAAGGGCAAGCTGATAAAATTTATTAGTCCAAGCAAACCAATAAATGAAAGTCGAAATGCCAAATGCCTCAATTGAATTGAGGTTGTAAGAATCAAGGTCATGGACTAGTGCTCCAAAATCAAGGCCTTGAAGCTTAACCCTATAAGGTGACCAGGGAAGTACTTGAGAAATTCAGAACTTGATTTGAAACATTGGGCTATAATTCTTGGGCCAAGATGAGCTTATGTAATGAGATACATAGGTCTTAAATAACCAACAGAAATGCCTCTAATTAGGAGCAAAATGAAAGCTCAACATGTTTCTGGTTAGCTAGCCTCTACCTGTAAAGGAATCTTGGAGTTTGAGTTAGAATAACCCATTGTCTTTGTTTTTGTTCTATCACTGTGGGGAGGCACCAAGTCCAAGGCAACTCTTATAAAGGAAAGCAATTAACTGAGGGCTTGCTTAAAGTTTCAGAGGTTTAGTCCATTATTATCACGTTGGGGATTACAGAGATAAAATGGCACTGGACCAGTAACTAAGAGCTAGGTCCTGATTTGTAGGCAAAGAGAGCAACACTGAGCTTAGCATGTGCTTTTGAAACCTCATAGCCCATCACCTGTGACACACTTCCTCCAAGTCCACACCTCCTTATCCTTCTCAAATAGTGCCACTCCCTTATGACCAACCATTCAAATTCATGGGCCTATAGTTATCAATCTTATTCAAACCACTACGCCCATGGTGTGGTCCAGGAAGGAATATTTATTCTCACCTTGAATGGTGGGCTGAATGTGAATTTGTGGAATGAAAGGTGGAGGAAGGAAAAAAAAAACCACAAAAAGAAGGAAAGGATGGTTTAAACAGAGAAAATAGCACAAACAAGAGAGTGTGGTGGCACCTACCTGTAATAGCAACCCTTGGGAGGCTGAGGTTAGAAGATTGTGAGTTCAAGTCCAGCCTGGGCTTTAAAGTGAAGCCCTGCCTCAAGTTTTAAAATTGAAGAAAGAAGGGAGAAAGGATGGAGGGAAGGAAGGAGAATGTTAGGAGGAAACTTTTTTCTTTTTTTTTTTAATTTTTTTATTTTATGTATATGAGTATTCTCTCTGCATTTACACCTGTCAGAAGAGGGAATCAGTTCACATTATAGATGGTTGTAAGCCACCATGTGGTTGCCAGGAATTGAACTCATGACCTGTGGAAGAGCAAACAGTGCTCTCAACCACTGAGCCATCTCTCCAGCCCCCACTTTTTTTTAAAGATACATTCAGAAAGAGCCACAGCTTTCCAAAACCAGCACTATTTAAAAAAAAAAAAAGGCGCAGTCCTCCTGCATCTGTCTTCTTAGTACTGAGGCAGGGAACTGTGTCTTGTTCACTTTGCCCTTCCAGAACCAGAGTACAATGGCTTACCTTAGTGGACACTGCATGAGTGAATTCAATTGTTATTGAATAGTTATAGGAAAAATAATGGCATTCATTTTGTTTTCTAAAATAAAATGTGGTTGAGGCACATACATCAAAATACTCTCACAGACCATCTTGAACGTGTTTATGTATGTGTCTTACCATACAGCATCATTTTATGAGCCCCAAAAGTACACAAGCAGTCAACTTCACATTCCACCAGCACCTGTTCCTTGTCATTTCCTGGGTTGTTTGTTAGAGCAGCCATCTTAAGGATGTGCTGTGATCCCTAATTCACTTTCCTTTGATGATTAGTATTGATCAGTATCTTTTCACATTTGTTGGCCACTTACCTATCATCTGTGCAGAAATATTTACCCAAGTCCTTTGTACACTTTCCAATCAAGTATTCCAGTTTTTGCTATTGTTGAATGTGGGGATTTTTGTTTTGTTTGGTTTTGAGACAAGTTTTCTCTGTATAGCCCTGGCTGTCCTGGAACTTACTCTGTAAAGCAAGCTAGCCTTGAACTCAGAGATTTTCCTGCCTCTACCTCTCAAATGCTGGGATTAAAAGCATGTGCCACCATGTCCAACTCTGAGTTTGGGAATGTATGAAAACATTCTTCTTTCTTGGTTTACCTTTTAACTCTGTTGATTTCATTCTCTGACAGACAAGTATTTTGAATTTTATGTAATCTCATTTATGTATCTTGGCTTTAGTGCCTGTGTTCTTTATGTCACAACCAGGAAACCATGGCCAAATCCAAAATGCCCTCTGTGTTTTCTTCTAGGTGTTTATAACTTGAGGTTTTAAATGATATCTTGAATAATCAAAAAAGACAACTCTTGAATCTAAGAACAGTAATCAAAAGCAGACTTGCATTGTCATTTAAGAAAGTTAAATAACTCTTCTAATCCGTATTCTAGCCCTTTATTTCCGATTGCACTTAGCTTCACAGCTGTGCCAAGAGAACAGAATGAACGTATCACTGCGTTTATCACAAAGGAGTTTCCCGAGCAGTAGTAAGAGGGTTAGATGGTTGAAGGAATCAAGGTAAACTTACAGGTCTCTGCCTGCTCCTCTCTGCTCAGAAAACCTTTCATGCCCGCTGGAAACTCTGTCTTAAAAGCCTCTTTTAAAATGTTCCTTAATCATAATAAGTGTTAGGAAATGGTGGTGATGCTGACACAACACACCCAGGAGTGGCTTCATTCCCAAGTCTTCTCAGCTGGAGCTCACCCACCAGAGGCATTACACCGGGGAGCTGGGAGCTGTCCTATTCACAGGTCCTGAATTTTTCTTATATAAACTTTGAATTTTCTTATATAAACTTTAAACTTTGACAAGCTATGGGTTTCCTTGCCATGCACATACACACACACACACACACACACACACACACACACACACAGCCACACTAGTCAACAAGAATTCTTCAGTTCCTCTTGGCCTAAGACCCTTCTTCTCTACCCCAGAATTAATAGGTCAGCACTTTGTGCCACTCTCAGCAAAACCAGCCTCTGAACTAAAATGTATAGAAGATTATTATAATGGTGTCTGGCAATGCTGAAATCAACTAAAAAAAAAAAATCTCCATTAAATTGTTTATAAGAAAAAACTGATGTTTTCAGTATACTGAACATAAAAACAGAAAAATGTAAATTTGGGCTATCTCTTGTGGTTATTCCTAAACCAGCTGTATACCCAAATCACCACACAGAGACTGGGATTTATATAATTAACCTAGAGCACAATGCGGGGCAATAGTTACTCCATCCTAAACCTCCAAGCCCACATAGTTTTCTGCCATTCAGATTTCACCCATTAGAGTTGCTTTTAGTCATATCTTAGGTCCAGTTCATCCGTCCTCATAGTTTCAAGATATCTCTTGCAGAATCTGTTCTCCTCTCTCCTGCCTCTTCTCTCTTTCTCTCTGGACCAGGATGTCCCACCCTGTTCTCTCCATTGCTTATCATTGGGGCTGGTTTTTTAATTGACAATATAGAGAACAAATGGTGGCATGTTTACACAAACTTGAGACAGATGATACTTAGAATAAGCATCACAATGCAATGTCCTGATTGAAACCAGATAGTGGGGTAGAGAAATCAGCATTTGAACAAACAAGGGTAAATTGAATACATTCCACAAGAATATAATACCATCAGCTATCTGATATCAACTCTGCATATATCTTTAAAGATTGTTTTTCTACTTCTATTTAAGTGTAATATAATATATATAGTCAATAAATAACCAATTAATTGTTTACCTTTTCATACAGCTGTTTTGGCTTGCACAGTACAGTAATCTCAGAGCTTTGATGACTGCTCTGTTTTATTGGCCATGAGATGTTGAGCTATTGATCCAGTTATCTTCTGTACATATTTAGAAATATCAACTATACTGAACAAATATGAACATAAATAAAATAGAACTGAGAAAAAGCAGCAACTAAATGATCCCCAGCTTATCTTTTATTTTAACCTCAAATGTGTTTCAACCCCACTTCCTGTCTCAAATAATTCCAACTCAATTCAAATCTTCTGAGTTTCTTGAGTTCAGGACACACTTTTTTTTTTTTAAACCTTCAATTCAGTGTTAAAGAGCTTGTGTTCGTCCATCTCCTAGCCCTTTCTTTTTCCAATTTTCTTCAAAACCTTCAGTTTTGAAGGTCTTAGACAACAGTACGTTGCCCCTGCTGTTTTTGATCTCAGGGTGAGTCAGTACATCATGACAGAGTAAAATCACTCACAACAAACAAAGGACCAGAATCCCACAGTCCCCTCAAGGACACATTTATTTGGCTTGACAAGACCCTGTCCCTGTTTACCCCTATGAATATATCATGGCATTTCTCACAGAGGATTTCCACTGGCAATTGCAAAAGTGCTGAGTGACTGCAGAGTGGGAAGGAGTAAAGGGGAAGGTGTCTGAAAGCCCCTCCCACTTGCCTCTCCTCCACGGTCTAACTTTCAGATGGCCAGACAGCTAAAACACAACTGTATTTCATTTGAGAAGTTGTACAGTATTAGGAGTATCTTTTTATTCAATATGTAGATATTGGAAGTCATCTAAACAATCAATAAAAATTTTAAATTGTTTTGTACAATTTTAAATTGTTTGGATATCTGTACTTAAAAGGTTAAAGGACACAATAAAGTCAATAAATAGCAATTCCATAAACCATGGAAGTATTGCAGATCAATTACTTTAAAAATGATAAATGTACTTACTTGATGACTGTGAACTTTTGTAAACTTAACGCATTTTGTTTCATGGTCTGTGTTATACTCCTTTAATCTTTCATTTTAAAACTCTGATCACTTATCAGAACAAACTTTCTGACATCCTTAAGTTAAGACTTATATAGACATGGGAGATTCAAATAGATGAACACATACGGTGAGAGTATAACGAGAAACTTCATTATTACTTTGGCACTAAGTTAGCTCTGAGCTTACAAGCAACCAAGTATAGATAGAAATAAGAGGGCCAAGGGCTGGAGAGATGGCTCAGCCATCCAAGGCTAGGCTCAGAACCATAAATATAAGAAAAGAAAACAAAAATAGAAATGTATATAGGAAATAAGTTTTCCTGGTACTGAATCCTACGAGTAACTTATTATATCAGTTGTGTTTCAGTTGGCTCCCAGCACTAGAACAAAAATACCGAGCATAACCAACTTATAAAGATGAAAGGTTTATTTTGGCTCAGTTTTGAAGGTCTTAGTCAATAATACATTGGCCCTGCTGTTTTTGGTTCCTGGATGAGTCAGTACATCATGACAGAGTAAAATCACTCACAACAAACAAAGGACCAGGGTCCCACAGTCCCCCCAAGGGCACACCCAGAATAAACTAGAGACTTCCAATGAGGCCTGCCTGCTTCTTAAAGTTTTCACTAAATTAACAATAGTGGCACCATGGAAACTTCATCTTTGGCACATAGGCTTTTGGGAGATTGTCAAGATTTCTGCAACATTACAGATAATTTGTGTTTTATGAGGGATATAAAAAAGTCTGTCATATGGCAGTTTCATGTTTGACAATAAGAAACATTATTTTTAGAAATTGATTGATTGATTGATTGATTGGATTTTCAGGGCAGAAAGAATTTTCTGTATCTGTTCTGAAACTCTGTAGAGCAGGCTGGCCTGCACTCAGGAACCATCATGTCTCTGCCTGCCGAGTGCTGGGATTAAATGCATTTACCACCACACCCAACTCAGAAGAAAATATTTTAAAACATTTAGCAAAACATTTTTTAAAAACCATGAAATCATAAGTGCAGGAACAATAACTTGCTGTTACTAAATCTAGGACAGCCCAGAACCTACCACCCTGCAGGTTCCAGCCTTTGTTAAAAGAGATGGACACTTCTGGGAAGAATGTCAGCCAAGACCCAATAACCATGAACAGCTTGAGAAAGTGGGAGGAGATGAGAAGCATAGAGCATGGCAGGGAGCATAAACAGCAATTAATTCACCCTTGTCTTCCTTCTCTAGTACTTCGGAAGTGTTGTGGAAATCATTAAGAATCACCAGCACAACCCCCTGGTTCTTATCGACAGTCAGAATAACACAAAAGATTCCACAAGACTGAAATATGCTGTGAAGGTTTCATAAAGGAAGAGACGTCAACACCACTGTTCCAGACATTTCCCCCATTTCTCCTTTTAAGAAAACTTCATATTCTGGATGTGAATCATCAGCAATAAAAGAGAAGATAAATGAATGCATGGAGGTGGTAAATCCAGTCCTTCATAAGATGTTCACATGAGCTTTTCTATTCCCTGACCGGATGAAGTAATAGCTGGGGAGGATCAGTTATGATGCTACTAATGTTTTCCAAATAAATGTATTTAAAAGAACCAGGGGTAGTGCATTTTCAGTGATACCAGAAAGCAGCGTTATATTTTTAAACTAAGAAGATTTTACACTTGGATACAACCAAAAAGCCACTGGGAATGTAGGCCCGTACGGCAATCACTGCACCTGAGTGGAGCTAGGCTATCTAGTGCTGAGGCTTGACAATTATGTCTTAAACCTTCTTCTTTTTTCTTTTGAGACAGTTTCACTATGTAGACCAGGCTGGCCTGGAACTCAGAGAGATCTACCTGCCTCTGATTCTCAAGTCCTGGTACTAGCGGTATGTACCACCACACCCAATTTCAGTTAAACTTACAATATGTAGATTAAAGTAATGAACGGCAGACAAAGCAGGGGTTTGGAACAGATCTGTGTGTGCCTCCAACCATGTGAGAATTAAACAGAGATGAACTTTCCAGTTCTGCCAGATTGTGCTGTTGGATTTGCCTATTAGGAATAATCATTCCCCCCCTTTGATCTGAGTATCTATTAGATGGCGCCTAAACTTGGTAAGAAATGGAGATGATAGGTAAACCAATTGGAAATGCTGGGTGCTAGGGAAATAATCCAGAGAACATGAGCAGATAGGCTGGTGTCGATGAATACAAAGGATTTCATTAGTTTCTTTTCTGTTGCTGTGATAATGCATCAAAACCAAGGCAATGTACAGAGGAAAGAGTTTTACCTGGTTTGCAGCTCTGGAGAAACAAGAGTCCATCGTGGCAGCAAGCAGCAGACATCACAGCTGGAGCATGAATGATGCCAAGAGCTCACACCTCAACCACAAGCTGAAGCCGAGAGCACGAACTGAAAATAAGTGATGGCTTTTCCTCTCTCAAAGCCACCCCCTCCCAGCAACACCCAGGACATACCACAAACCCCTCCCCAAATGGAGCCACCAACGAGGACCAAGGGTTTGGATGCCCAAGACCATGGGTGGGAGGACATTTCTCATTTAAACCATCACAAAGATAGAGAGATACTACAGTGAACAGCCTTGCACAAGGTTTTAGATCAGTCCAGATATGTACTCTAGATGGTGTTGAAATGACATGCAGCTGATTAAGTCTAATAATCAAGTGAGAACACACTTGATCACTAGATAAGATAGCAGCATCAATGCATTTTAAAAAAAACCAGATGGTGATGCCCAAGACTATGGGTCAGAGCAACTCACAGACTCTCATAAACAGAACAACATGTTTTTAAGTGTCAGTTTTGTAACTACTAAACTATGGGTTGAATTATGTCCAACACATTTACAGGCAAAGTGTTGCATAATTTTTAAAAACTCTTTTATCTACATTTCTTTATATCTCCTTCTCTCTATCCCAATCCTTTCCAACACTCCAACATCAGGTAGGAGACAGGGTTAGTGGGAAAGGGGGCACAGTTCTCTTAGCTGCTTCCTGCTGGTTAGCATCCTCAGGTTCCTTGGAGCCAGTCCACTCCTTGTTTCAGGACATCTCCAACTTCTTGTCTCACTGCATCAACAGCAACAGGAGCTGCAGAGAGGAAGCAGCAGCAGCCTTGCTCTTTCTCTGAGCTCCTCCATGCTCTCTGGGCTCTCGCGTTTATTCTCTCTCCAGAGTCCTCAGACTTAAACTGTCTGCAGCTGGCAAAGAGCCCCTCTCAGAGCCCACATGAGGCAAATAGTTTGCTGCTGTGGACCATCTGAATCAGTCCCACATCCCACACCTGGGATTAAAACAAAACCATGTTTCTATCCACAACAATAAAGTCAAGTTATTATGGAGTCATAAGGTAGGTGCTACACAGGTAACCTGTTCTTTATGAAGAAAAGAGTTTGAGTACAGATGCAGCCACTCATAGAGGGAAGGCTGTGAAGAGGCATCATGAGAAGACCAGGGACTGGATCCATGCACCCATAAACCAAAGAATGTTAAGGATGGCTGTCAAACCAACAAAAGCCAGGCAAGGGCAAGAACAGATTCCCCTCCAGGGTTCAGTGGAAACACTGTCCCATTTATACTTTGATTTCAGATTTCAAGCATCTAGAACTGGAGGTCAATAAGTCTATTTCAATCTCTTTCTTTAAGCCACTCAGATTGTGGTGGCTTGTTACAACTGCCCTCTGATGGGAATACAATTCATAGAGACTTTTTACAATGAAATCTTTGGTATATATTCATAGAAATTTTGAAATTTTGTACTGAAAGTGTTTTCCCTTTTACAAAAACAATGTAATTGTTTAGAATGTACTAGAAAGAACTATTTACAATAAAGAAGACTGAAGCAGTCCTTTGCAAAAAACACTCACTAATAATATAAGACAGGAACCTTCTCCGAGTAGCCTTGGCTGTCCTGGACTTACTTTGTAGACCAGCCTGGCCTCGAACTTACAGAGATCCTCCTGCCTCTGAGTGCTGGGATTATAGGTGTGCACCACCATAGCCAGTTTTTTAAACAGTTTACTTTTAAAAATTTTATGTACATTGGTGTTTTGATTGCATGTATGCCTGTGTGAGGGTATCAGATCCTCTGGAACAGGATTTATAGACAGTTGTGAGCTGCCATGTGGGTGCTGGGAATTGAACCAGGGTCCTCTGGAAGAGCCAGTGCTCTTAACCGTTGAGCCATCTCTCCAGCCAGAGATACATTTTAATGTAAACAAATCTTCATTCATTCCTTCCGTTGCCACAGCAACCCCTGCTCAAAACAGCCTTTTTTTGCCCTGTCCCCAACTGCCTCCCTCCTGATGTTCCCCTACAACAAGATGAAGAAGCATAGCTTCTAAACAAACAAACAAACAAAATGCAACTCCATAGTAACTTAATACTCAGCACTGCTATGGTGGGCTTTTGGAGCAAACGCTGGGATTCATAAGCCAGTCTCTGCAGAGGCATCCATCCTCTTAGTCTCCAGTGTTGGGAGAAATATCCTACCTAACAGGCCAACCTTTCCCCATCTCCCAGAAAGAGTCCGTTAGAGGGTAGGTAACCGTACCCTAAGGTAGGCTTCTCCAAAGCCTTCCTCTGCAGGTGGAATTCTCAGTGAAGCTAGGAAAACCTCCAAGAGATCCCGTCAGCTTCATCTATAATTATCAATGCTTGATAAGAAAGTGATTTTTTCACAGAGAAATTCTCAGGCAAGCTAGCTGATGCGGGGGAGGGGGCTGGAGTGCCATAGCGCGGCGGCTGAAGGCAGCATCTCGGGTCCTGTTCTCTGTCTCAAGAACGTCTCAAAGCAGACTGCATCCGGGGTGACAGAAAGGCTCCAGGCTTGTGCCAATGGGCAGCAGAGATGGGATGGCTGCATCTGCGGCCATCAGAAGCCTGCCCTGTGCTGAAACGAACCAGCCACAGCACGGGTTTCGTGACTCTGAACCCCGAGCACTAAACATGGCAACCGGGACAGGTTTGCCTAAGAATAGAACGGACTGATGCGAAGCAAAACTAGTCGTATGCGAGGCATGATTTTAGAGCTGGACTGAAATTAAAATGACTTTAAGATGGTGTATAACCTAACCTCTACTTATAGGTGAGGTGGCATAGAAGAAACTTAAAGCTTGCTGCCTGAAAGCTCAGTTTCAGCGAATGCCCCTGGCAGGAGCTAAGCATAAGGGAGACAGTATTGGCTTCAGAGACAGGTCTGTGTCCCGGATCTACTGCTAACTGGTTTGCTGTCGGGCTTCCCATCCTTGAAGGCGTCAGTTTTTACATTTCTGAAACAACTTCTTTGTAGTCATGACACAAGAGTGAACAAAGGTACTTTTTTATACCCTACAAATTATGCCTATTACATATTAACTCGCAGCCCCCTCGCTAAAAATCTCCTTTGCAGAGATTTAAACTGATCTGTGAACAACTCTTCAAATAAAACTGCTTGTGGACATTCATTTTGATTACATGTCAGGAAGACCCCTGGGATTTTTCTCTGTACCTATGGGTTTTACTTTTTCTTTTTCTTTATTTAGTAGCTACAATGTTCTTTGAATTTCATGAAAGCCATTACTGGTCTTTGCCCAAGAAGAAAGTACATTTAGGTACATACACACAAAAAAATTACCAGTTTTATTAAGGTTTCTGCACTCTTAGGACTTCTCCGTAGACCAAACACCCAAAGATCCAAGGCTTCAGGCCCTTGACTCACATCTCTTTAAATGTTCATATATCAAAATGGCTGAAATATTATGCACTAAAGACATGAACATAATTTCTCCACTGAGTGAGAAACAGGTACTGATGTGGGTTATTTCAAGGGCTCTGGAGTGTTGCTTCAAGTGCAATCCCAGCTCCTGTGCCTGGCCACAGACTGTGAACTTGGCTTGCCCGTGAGAAAAAAATGGACACAATCACGCAATTTATCTTACAGGATTGTTCAAAGAGTGTATTAAAATTGTAAAAGTTCAGGCATGTGAATTATCACTGATATAACCAGCCAACAAGTCACTGAGCCTATTGTATGCCAGTCAGGATATATGTCAGGCACATGAAGTGTGGAAATAAATCATCTTACATTTTTTGAGGCACCCAAAGAACCACTCAGATATTTCAATCCAGAGTTCTCATTTTATAAAAAGCATCAAACAGGATTTTAAATCTAGAAATTACTGTTTTTAAAAGGATGTCCTCTGCTAAGAAAAACTTCAAAAGGGAAAAATATAACTGAAATACTCACTAATAAACACTTGTTACTCAACTGCAAAGTCTCATCCCTTTCCCCCCAAAACACACCATTTTACAAATGTTACCATTTCTGTTTCTTATTCCTAAGCAGGCCACTTAGACCTAGATTGAAATCCTGCTGGCTACATATTCTCTGTCAAGTTATGCTGTTTCACTTGCCTTTGAGGCTTTTTTAAAATACTTTTTTAATTTTTTTCACAATTTATTCATTATATAT